TATGAAAATACTATAGGCAAATCTATGACGAAAAAAATATTATTTACAGACTAACAGTTGTAAATAAATAAATTTAATGTGATTGAGTCTTCAAGACTGATTTAATTGAAGTGGTAACAGATACAGTTGTAATTTCAAATACAAAAGAAAAACAAACCAGGAATTGAGTATGATCAATCACAGAACCACAGAATGACCTCGGTTGAAAAGGACCAGAATGATCATCTGGTTTCAACCCCCTGCTATGTGCAGGGTTGCCAACTACCAGACCAGGCTGCCCAGAGCCACATTCAGGCTCACCTTGAATGCCTCCAGGGAGGGGGCATCCACAACCTCCTTGGGCAACCTGTTCCAGTGCATCACCACCCTCTGTGTGAAAATCTTCCTTTTAATATCTAACCGAAACCTGCCCTGTCTCAGTTCAAAACCATTCCCTCCCTTGTGCTATCACTATCAACCCTTGTAAACAGGCATTCCCCTTCCTGTTAATATTCCATTACGAGGAAAGGAACATAACTAGAGGGATTCCTCTCTCTTTTTAAAGATCTTCTTCTCCTCCCTTCCTTACCACTGAAGTCTCAAGCCCTTCCGTTGCATTATTGCCACGTGCTGTGACACAATACAGATCAAGATGGAGTGTGTGTTTTTTTAAGGGTAATACTGTCTTCAGATGTGTCTTATTTACTTCCACATCTCTGAGATACTACTATAAAACTATCTAGCCAGGAAAAATGTCATTTTTTCTAAACACAATTATTTTCTTAAATTGTCCGGAAAAAAATTATCAGTTTCCAGATTGCATACATAAAGATAATATTCAATTGATGAAATGCCATTTTAGGCAACTCAATTGTACTTTGCACGTTTATTCTTACATAAGATTTATAAATAACACTATGAAGTTGTCACACTTATTCTTCTTTACTTGAGCCAGTACTGATTCCTTGAAGTTTCCCTTGCCAAAAATAACAACGTCTAAGCGCAAATTGAAAGATTTTAAGAATCACTCAACAAGCCTGATAATGAAAGGGAATGTTTCTGAAACGAAACGGATGAGCAAGAAATGCAAGAACCCTTCTGACAGCAATTTGCATAGGAAATATCTTATTTCACACTAATTACAAAAAGGTGAAAGATAGAAATAGGGTTCTGACTGCAAACAAGTCTTCCTTGCTACTTGCTCCAATCTTTCCAGTTGTGTGTGATCTATTACGTACAATTTTCACCAGCAGAGAAAAACAGTTAAAGAAAAATACATGCTTCCTGGCTTCTGGATTCCCAGGTAATTCATCTTCAAGAAAAATTTAACAAGACTGAGATGCATCTCTTTTTCCAATTTATCTTGTACTTATGACAGAGATGCATATGTTCGTTGCACAGACAAAATGCTAGAGCATTTCAGGACTGTTCATTTTACTGAGAAATACTGGAAAGAGAAGAGTTTTCTTCCTATTTTCAAATTGCACTGGTTATCTTCTCTCTAACTTACTTGGAATTCTGAATCTGGACAACTTATCTTTAGCAGAACAATGACAGTACATGGTACCATGCGACCATCACTACTATGGTTTTTTTTTGGGGGGGGGAGGTTGTTTTATTTTGTTTTCTAACTCACCCAACTATCTTATGTTTCATAGGAGAGGGGGCAAAGATAGTTAGCTGCATTAGAAACTTTTTTAAGTGGGTGACAAGAACAGGTGGGGTTTTCTCGGTTTTCCAAAATTCTATTAAAATAACAAACACTGAAATAAAGAATATAATACTTCTGTGTCCTACAATATGGGATGTTCTGTTTTCCTTATCACGGATTTTAAGAAAAATGAATAAAACAGGTCTTTATACCTTGGCTGTACTACTACTTGGCTTCACTTCCAGATCCCTTCTTCTGTAGTCTAAAATAAATCTTTTACTGGTGAAATGTATCATTTTATTCTTCCCTGACATTTTTTTTTCTTTCCTTTTCAACAGTTTGTTAAAACACCTCATTAATTAGTTAAGAACTTAAGAACAAAGTTTAAGACAATTCAGTAGTATTCCTAGCAATGACTATGTTATTTTCATTGCCTGAAGACAAATCTCTGAGGAGAGCAGGCTGCAAGTTAAAAGGTCACTCAATAGTAAAAACCGGAAGATTCCCAAATAAAGGAATTAAACAGTATTCCAAGGATTTACTCTCTCCCCGTCAGACAAGACAGTTTAATCTGCAGGGGAACAGTGAACACAAAACTTAATCAGAAATACATTTTTATGATCACTAATAAATGGTTCACCATGGTGGCTTCTGTTCACAGCCCTGAGACAAATATTTCCTGTTGCTGTTCACCCTGTCTTTATATACTAATGTAGACTTCTTGTTTCTTTGCATCATAAAATGTTCATTTATTTTTCTTCTTTGAATAGTAGAGTGGTTTTCATGGATATTTATACATATTGTTTTCCTCTGGAAAAAGTTAGGATATCATTAATTGTAATGTTAATTGCCATGGCAGACTGGAGGTGTGGATAACTGTTAAGCTGATAGGCTTAGTATTAAAATGGAGACTTTCAATATTTTTCTTCATAAAAAAATTCTAAAATTCAATCCTTCAGAATGGAAATTGCATGGTGAATTTTTAGTTCGTTTTAAATAGGTTTTCTGGGGTCAACCTCCCCTCATTTAAAGAGCATTGCCTACATTTTCATCTGAGACCTACTAATTAAGTCAGGAAAATACCGGGTATAATGACAGAGTTTACAGCCTCTACAGATGAGTTCTTCATGTGGAAACTGTAGCCCTAGCTCTTTCAAGGACTGTGTTTGCTTCCAATGCATTCTGCTAAGATTTGGCAATGGAAGAAGTAACCAGAGAGAAGTGATCAACACCTCCCTCTCTGCTTTTCCTCATGAGAAAGTTATAGACCACAATGAGTTCATTTCCCAGCCCTCTACTCCCTAACTAAGCTACTCTCAGCCATCCCCTATACATCTTGTCCTCAAGTCCTTTAACTGTTTTTGCTCTCCTTGGGACTCATTTTAACATTTTTATACGCACTTTATATAGTAGAGCCTAAAACAGCACATAATACTAAGGAGAGGCTGCACCAACGCAGAGTACAGTTGGACAATCATTTTTTCTGACTATATAATTATGCTGTGCACAATGAACCCCAGGATACATTTGGCCCTTTTGGATTGTGCCTATCAGAAGGAAGTAAACAAGACAACACTCATTTTGGACTCAAACATGCTTGTCTGGCCAACAAACAAAGCTATTTCAAATCAAATGCACAATAAAAGAACAGAACTTTACACATGTCATCTAGCCAGAAGTTACCCTGAACAAGAAGAATGCTGATATTTAGCCTCAGAGTAAGAGAGCGTCAGAGACAACTGACAAAAAACCATGAGAACTAGATAATCTGTAACGGTCATGCAAGAGCTGTCTTGAAGCCTCTGCCTTAGTCAATGCTATTAGAATGAAGATAAGTACAGAGTAAGTATTCCAGATGGCAAAGAATACGTTAAACATGAAAATGCCCCTAGATCAGCAGGATAAACGCACTATTTCATGGTCTCTCAAAAAAATCCTCTGATTCTTGAAGCTGATTCTTCTGAGCAAGGCCGACCTTACAGAAGCACTCATGAGACTCTAGGAAATCTTCCCACAGATCCAATATTTTGCAGGCCTGATAGAAACGGCGCAATGATACAATCTCCCACAGCACAATACACTTCCACAATACACATGCCTCTTAAGACCAGGAGCAAACTCCTCCTTCCTTTTTAGGGAACGTAGTTGTCATGCCAACAGTTAAAGAAAAGCAAGCTGCAGCGACAGCTAGTGATGAAGCCTGTTTGTATTTTACAGTTTCTCTGGAAGGTTGTTACTGAATTTCAGGTACTTTAGGACAGCAGCACTGTCTCACTTGACACTTTTTATGTCCATGCTTACTGCTTCTGTTATTATCTTGCCTCTTGCTTCCGAACTCATGTACCTGACCTCTTGACAAGGACAGAGCTGACATAGTTTGACAGTACACATGCATGCACACAGGCCTTGAGTTATCTTTCCTTTAGGGATCTGCTATGATGTGTATATTTATGAAGGTGGGACCTTAACTAGAATATTCAGCATACGGTGTATCAGCAGAATGATCAGAATCTAGCAGAACTCCTCAGAAAAGAGATGAAGTAAACCTCCAACATAAATCAAGGCAAAGAGGCAGCTGAGTACTGGATACTGATATTCTCAAACTGACTTGTTATTCAGAAATGCAAAGTTTCCTTCTGCAAAGGCCAATGAAGAGGATAGATACAAAGCTGTAATAGCAGCTACGGGAAGAGAAAAAAAATCAAGTCTCAGCAGCATCTCTCACAGTGCACTCTCACGATCACTTTCATAACTCAAGTACATAAGATTTCTACCCACAAAAACTATATTCACATTGGCATCAAATCTGTGATTATTCTAAAAAAAACATTCTCTTAAACAATGTAGACTAATTTTGTGCACAGTATTTTATTGGTATGTATTAGAAATCATAATGTTACCAAATTTGCTGGTTTTGAAAACATTTTCTTAACCTTCTTAACATCCCTATTCCTACCATTCTAAAAAGATGTATGGATTAGAATTCATTTTACGTGTATTTTGCAGAAAATGGCAAGATTCCCCAAATGCAACAAAACCAAAGAAACTCTTCTTTAAGGTTTTGAATTCTAGTAACCCCACTTAGCAAGATTTTTTTTTTGCCTCAACAGAACCAAGACTTGCAAAAGGAAGAGCATGGGGAAAGAAGAATTGTGTGGAAGCTTCCAAGTTACTAGAAAGACTAAATTAAGCTACTTAATAAACAGATAGGTAGAGGTGCAGCTGCAAATGCTTACTACCAGCTAAAAGTAGATCTTACCTATTTCCATTGTGCAACTTTGTAGTTTTCAATGAAAAAAAAAAAAAGAATAAGTAAATGAACAACACACAAATAAGTGTCATCTTTAAAACAAACAAAGAGTTACCCTACCCGCAGCCACTGCTTCTCCGTGAGAGCATCACTGTAGTCCACATCCCTGCGCTGACGGGATCCTCTTCCAAATATCTTTTCCTCCTCTTCTTCGCACGTGAGCCTTTCAACTTCAGCATCGTCCTTAATAATCCAAGATGGCAATTCATCCTCCTCCATCAAGCGGGGCTTGCGTTTGGGGTTTCTGGCATCTTCTCTACGACGGTCCATGTCCATACGCTGAAATGGTAGATGGGAAAGGATAAAACAGTTGTAAAGACAATTGAAACAAACCACTGGAATTCCTGCCAGCTAAGAATACTTGAAATTTTAAACCAAGTTCTTCACAAGTACTTCCTTTCCTCTAGCCCAAGACTTGTAAAATGCAACTGTAGAAAGTAGTTACATTTTACAGTTGATTTTCTGTGAAGTTCACTACTCCATAGCTAGTTTACACTGAAGTAACTCCACAGGACCCAGGTAAGACAACGTAGATTAAGAAAGAAGGAAGCTATCCATTAAAAAGCTCCATTTTTTTTTCCCACACACAGTTTTACGGTTTCTATATATTCATAAATCTGATTTGCAAATATTATTAATTCCTTTACAACATCCTCAAAAATATGTTATATAACTAAAAAGAATAATTGAAAACATACTAGTTTTGTGATTCTGAATATCAGAGAAAGTAAATTTAAAAGCAGACATTAGAAAAAAGGAATCAAGAGAGATAATTAAGAATTCAAAGAAAAGATGACTCGGTGACAGAAATCCAACCAGCTTCAACAAAAATTTTTACTTCTCCTGCATTAAGAAAAAATGAAAACACATACAATAAAAATCAGGCAAGATTAAGTAAAATGTTAAGAATATTAAAAGGGTAATATGCTGTAAAAATAAAAAGCTGGACTTCAATTACTCACACAAATTAATTTCAACTGTGGTGACCAATTACCTCATAAAATAGATACGGATACTCAGGATACATTCTTGTGTGAATTAGGTGGTTTATAGTTCTCCCAGGAAAGCATCCATTTCTCTGCATTGACTATATGCTGATCTAAGCCCTAAGCTCCCATGAATCTCATTTAGGTTATTTAACTAGCTCAAATAAGACAATATGTACAGCCTTTTCAAATACACCTTAAAATAAAACCCACTCAGTCATAAAATGTACTCAGTTTAAAAACACTGATGTATACAGTCAACTGCTGCCATAATGTCATTTTGCCAGAAAAAATAACCCTTGTTAAACCACACTATGAAGAGATGACAATGGTTGCAGAGATTACATTGAAACACTCTGAATTTTGCATACATTTTTTATTATAAGATGAAAAATCAGAAGTGTCATCACTTGCACTGAATACAAAAGTAGGACACACTGGGGCTATGTGGAATTTTTACCTACATATGAGGAGCCACCAAAAACCATGGGAACATAGTCTGCTTGTATGCATCCTCTCTGCATACATAGCTAAATATCCTCTGAATACTACAGGATTAATGTCAAAGAATACTTCTAATCCAAAAAGTGACAAAATAATAGATTCTTGAGAAACCTGTCAGTTTTCTCTCTCATCTATTGTTTTGGAACTTCTCATTTCAGACTAAAAAAATAAATATTTGATTTATATAAACAAGATAGATGTTTTTGCACCTTTAAGCCTAATTAAATGAACAAACCAAAACACAATTTTTCTTGGATATTACACTTTACTGAATTCCTATCACATCTGCACAGAAGGGAAAAGGCTACCTGGGCATCACTGAGGTAAGAAAAATATAAATTTAACTTCATGCTCTCTATATCACTACCTAAGACCTAAGAGATTAATAAAAAGAATAAACCTGACTACCAAACTTGGTTTTCAGAATTTCATCTTACAACTGAACAGCTTAATAATAAATGAAAATCTCTCTTAGAGATTAACATTTAACCTCAATGTTTCCACCTTAAATATTTTCAAATCCCTGGTTGTCAAAGCTCTTTACCTCTGCATCTTCAAATTTCTACCACCAGCTCTTTATTGTCCCTTACAAACTCACACAAAAATTAACTTGAAAAACACACAGCATACAGTGTTAAAACCATCTCCACTCTAGGCAGGTCAACTGTTTTATTGGATTGCTGTTTACTTTCAAACTTAACTAGAAGAGATAGACTTACAGAATTTCCCTGCAAAAGCCATTACTCCCATTCATGGATTAATTCTTTCCTTCTGGATCTGATGGAGCAGTACTAAGTTACTGTTTCCAGCCGCAAATCTACATTCATTGAACTCAGGTTACTTCTTTTTTGACCTGATTTCTGAAACATTAGTGCTTATATTGATCACTATGCATTTAGTACACTCAGTGAGGACAGCTACAGTTGCAGCAAAAAGTCTAGAATGCATATGCAAAACAGGCTGTGATGGAGAACACAATCGACAAGTAAAAAGCCAATAACTGGGCCGAAATTACTCCTTTCAAGTTTTGGTTTCTGTCATTCAAATCTCCTTAGTCTTTGAGAGAACGCTTAAAAAGACAAATGTCTGTAAGCACTCCCTTTCCACCCTTTGGAGATTTCAGCTCTTCTAAAATCACGCTGCACCAAACTTAGCACAAAAGGACAAGACATGTGATTCTTCAATGAGTAAAGGCACCCCCATGTGGGGGATTTGGCCTTTGTTCATTTGTGCATTTGAAGAATTGTTAGTTGGATAAGAACAGCCCTCGTACACTTGTGTAAGTAAGTTCTACTAATTAATATCTGGGCAGACAGCAAGAAATTAATAACGTGTGATTATCCTAGTGAATATCCTGTGAATCCTAGAAATGTCATTTCTCCAGATAGCACTTTCTGATACAATTTCATTTGATCCCACAAGTGTCTTTGTTGCTCAGTCCTGCAGAATGAAGCAACATAGGTAGAATGAGAAGAGATGATGCTTAACCCTCAGTGGTTAAATTTTTAAGTATCTTCTTTCTGTTGTTTCAGTGTCTCTTAAAAGCCCATCAGCAATCCTCACCACTGCACAGATGCAAAAAATTGGAAGCCATGCCTACCCTAACATACTAGTAATTATTCCATTGTTCACATTTGGATCACTGTAACTACTCTGGTAATTCTTCAACAGTTCTAGCAGCAGCAATGAAGTTAACAGGGCTCTTGAAGAAATCAAGAAAAATTAGCAAACCAGCTAATTTCCAAGGAGAACTGCACTGTAAGTCTACTAGTTTACTATCTTGTTCAGTTCCCGTGTTTGCCTTTGTCAGTATCACAGCACAAAAGTGAAAAAAGTTCTAAAAACAAAAGCATGCTGTACAACTTGTAAGACAAACACTGACTATCAGTTTTAGACTGCCTAAATTTCTTAGGTTGTGTCTTCCAGATCGGCACTGCTCTGCTACTGACTGCAAGGATCTCTGAAGTCTTTCTGTCTTGTGAGGAACTCTGCGTTTAGGAAGTCTGCTCTCCTTTCCTCAGATAAGCAATGCAAGTAAATAAAGCCATTCCTACAACAAAGTTTTACAACATTTAAATGACATATAAGGTTAAAGCCTTTGCTAAAAACACTAGAAATGATATACAGCATACGATCATATCACTCTCACCATAAAGAGATCAAATTCCTCTTCACGTCGGGCGATCATCTGATTCAGAGTCTCATCATCAGGAACTTCATCTTCCTCCTGGTCACAAAGATTGATAAAGGTACCAGAAAGAAGCTTTCATGTTCAACATAAAGTAACAGTCTGCATCAGGCCAGCGATGCACTGAGCGTCCTTCTGTCAGTACATGTGTGAAAAATGCAAACCAAAACTGAAACTTCTAACATGATCGGCAATTCAGAAGTAACACAAAGTAGACAAAATTAGAGACAATTGGGACTTATTACCACCTCCATAAATTGAGAATGAGGAAATGAGCAAACAGGCAACCAGGAAATTTTGGTTTGTGGTTTTCCTGGGTCAGAAGCACAGCTAGGGCTTCAGCTAAAATGCATGCATTTCTGTTCTGATGTTCTACAGTACTCCCTTAGAAATATAATTCAGTAGTATAAAGTCTTTTCTTATAGAAAGGAAACTGAATATGGCCCTACCTAAAGAAAAAAAAAATTAAAGTGTCACCAGCAAAAAAAAACCAACATCATGTCACTATATCAGGAGCATTCCTCTTTCTCCGTCTTTTTAGAAACAGACCCAAACCTCTGAAAGGCCTCTGAAACAGTCCCACACATCATCTTTATCTCTAAACAGGACAGATATGGGTTTGAAGGGTGGACTATCTGGGGGATAAATAATTAGCTGGAGGGTTGCAGCCAAAACATTGTGGTCAGTGACTCCATGTCCAGGTGGAGGCCAGTGACAAGAGATCCCCCTGTTCTGGAACCAGTGCTCTTCAACATCTTTATCAATGACATAGAGGGATTCAGTGTATCCTCAGCAAGTTTGCAGACAACATCAAGCTGAGTGATGCAGCTGACGTAACAGAAGAAAGGGATGTCATCCATGGGGACCTGGCTAAGAATGGGAAGTGGGCCCACATGAACACACCTTCGGCAATGCCAAATGCAAGATGCTGCACCTGGGTCATGGTAAACCCTGGTATGTATACAAATTGGGAAGAGAACTCCTAGCGAAGGACATGCAGGTTTTGGTGGTCCAGAAATTTGAAGTGAGCCAGCAGTGTGTGCTTCCAGCCTGGAAGAACAACTGCATCCTGGGCTGCATCAAAAGAGGAGGCGGCCACCATGGAGGAGGAGGTGATCACCTCTAACTGGCCCTTGTCAGGCCCCATCAGGAGTACTGCATTAAAATCTGGAGCCTGCGATGTAAGAAAGACATAGCGTTGCTAGAGCAGGTCCAGAGGAGAGCCATGGAAATTGACAAAGGGCTGAAGCACCTCACTTACGGAGAAAGGCTGAGAGATCTGGGCTTGTTCAGCACGGAAAAGCGAAATGTCGAGGGAGACCTCATTGCAGCCTTCTATTACTTAAAAGAAGGTTATAAACAGGAAGGAAGCAGACTATTTACACAGTCATAGGACAAAGAGAAACAGTTTTAAACTAAAAGGGAGATTTATATCAGATGTCAGGGGGATATTTTTTTCATTCAGTGGGTAGTGAAGCACCAGCACTGGCTGCCCAGAGAAGCTGTGCATGTGCCATCCCAAGAGCTATTCATGGCCAGGCCCTGGACATCCTTCCTGATGTAATGCCAGATCTAGCAGCTGTCAACCCTGTCCATGGGAAGGGAGATGGAGCTAGATATCTTCATGGTCTCTTCAACCCAAGCCTTTTTACCATTCTATAATTTTCTGAGGTAGGAAAAAAACACTGCAAAATGGGACTTCTAGTGTGTGCCTTCAGTATAAGTAATACATTAACATAGTATTTTCTAAATGCAGTGCTTATCCAAACGATGATTGTTCACAGTAAAAGAATAATCTGCAGCACCAGAGAAAAGAAGGGGCTCACCATTCCGCAACCACAGTTTCAAAGACCGGGACAAACTGCCAGTGATACTTCAATCTCACTGTCCACTACTGTACACAAAAGTGTGACAGCTGTCTTGTAACAGCTATTTTTTTTTTTTTTTCTGAATAGAAACTGGTAATTACAAGTCTCTTGGTACAGAACCAAGAAAAAAGTTATTTTGGCTGCCTTGCCCAAACAACATCTAAAGTCTTACCAAGAACCCAAAAGAAAAAGCAGGGTTTCAAATGATTAAATGTAAGAAGTCCTAGTTTTCTCAGTATATCTGAAAATCACACTATTTTAAAACATGAACTGGTTTTAAAGACTGCTTTATATCCTGGAAAACAAAAACAAAAACAGCCCTTGTTCAGAAAGTTTTTGGCAAAACTGAAAGAGCAAAATGGATTTAATATGCAAAAGATTTTATCATCACCAGATAACAACCTATTACTATGACCAAAAAAAAGAGATTTCTTTGACTGGATGGTAAGATAATGATTACAGTTCTAATTTTGAAGTAGTCAGTCTTTGAACTTAGGGAAAAATTAAGTTCTCCCTCAAACATGCTCTTCTCAATTATTTCTAACAACATTACCTCATTTTCTTCCTCATGCTCCAGTATAGCCTGTAGAAAAGCTCTCCTTTCATGACTTGAAGACTTCTGATCAAACATTCCAGCCTGAATAACTTTTTGATCTACATTCAACTTATACTTTGCAGCAGCAAGAATCTTCTCTTCCACACTGTTCACAGTGCATAGTCGCAAAACTCGAACTTCGTTCTGCTGACCAATTCGGTGAGCTCTATCTTGTGCCTGCAAGTCCTGTTAAGTAAAGAAGACATGGAGGGATTTATGTAAGTGTGCAACTCAAATCGCTCTCTGCTTACAGTGTGTAATAATGCTGAATTCTTTTTGTCATCAAAGGGAACTACCCAAACTACAGTCCACTATAATTCACATGGCTCACTCTCAGTTGTTTTCTTTCTTAAAATTTCATCAGATCCAGATAGGGAGAAAACAAAGAAAAAAACTTGTACAGTGTGTATACCGTAAATGCTGTAAGCTTGTGCAGTGACTGAAAAGGGCTTATGTATACATTTTTTCTTTTCTGCACAAAGGTTCATGACATTCTAAGCCAGAATGAACCCTAAAGTGAAACATCTCTTGATTCCAGGAAAAAAAAAAAAAGATTAGTAGCATAAAATTAATACATGATCTTATCTAAACTAAAGGTAGTCACTAATTAATAAATGTGTGAACTATAAATTATTTGATCTGTAGAATAGGCTTTTACCTTTGAATAGTTCTGTTAAAACAGTTTAAATATGATCTTAAATTACTTTCAGAACACTGCAAATAACTACTTTTTGGTAAAACAATTGCACTTAAAATTGATAGAAGTAAAAAAAGCATGCTGTACATTACTGGGAAATAATTATTTTTATTAATTCAAAATCTTACTGATCTTCTTCGGGGGAAAAAAGAAATTAATGTACACACTATTTCAGCAAAATGCTGTCACAATTTTCTGCTACGTCACAAAATAAATTTCTTGAAATAAGATAATAATAAACCAGGCAATGAGTTTACCATTTCAGTCCAGCACCCTACTTGTGATAGTATTGTTAGCTCCTGCTTTGCACAATTTCCTTTCCAAGCCACATGGAATTTAAAAGCAAATTTGAAGTTTGAAGAACAGTCCATAATAAACCTCTAATATTAACTTGTTTATATTACAGTTTTCAGAAGAACAGGACAGTAAAATGAGGAAATAGAAGTTTTTCCTTTTTGAAATATGCTGCTTACGTGCTAAAACAAACAAAAGCATCTCCTTTAGCGTGTTGCTTATTAGAAGTAACAAGTGATTCTCAACGAAAAGCAAAATGAAAACTGCACAAATTTTTTTATTTAATAATCTGTCCACTACATTCTCTAGGAAACATTCTCTAATGTGAGATTTACTGCTATCCAACTGTTAAAATATACTTGCATTAAAACTGTCTGTGAAGGTGACAGAGATAACCAAGAATATAAAGAATTAAGTGCCTTCTGAGGTGGTTTTTAAGCCTTTAAAGTAATTGCTCCAGATTTCACAAGCTCTGTTTTAAACTGATTACCAGAGCATTTATGCAACTGCTGCTTTCAAAGTTCTATGTAAAATTCTTCCATGTCTTAACCTTTATTTTTGCACTTAATAACATTTAGGTGATTAGCTTACAACTTTAGCTGAAAAGCTGAAAAGACATGCATAATCACTATAATCAGGTACTTCCCACAGATACCTAACTTCTGTTGTTACAATTATAAAATGCACTAAGTGACAAAGACCAGCTTCCTCTTATTTTTTTTAAATTTTAAACTGAGAAGAAGAAATAAGCCACCACCAGTGTCTCAGGACAAGACTGATATGGCCATTAACTTCTCGAGACAAAGCACTGATCTGCACAACCTTTTCTAAAATACTACAAACTACTGCAGAATCAAAATGAGGAATACTTGTTAGAGCTCTGATCAATAAAGAATGAGTATAGCTATAGTACTGGTACAAGACCAGAAGACCCCTAGCTGAGAATCCCTGGAGACAGACAAAATAATTACACAAACTCAGAATTACTTCACTGATTCAAACTGACACATTTCTTGACGGTAGTAGTTTGTCTTACTAACTGCTCCCAAACGAGAATGCTGTATCAATACCATTTACCTCAGAATATAACCTCGAACTAAAGACGCAACCCAAAAAAACCATCATGAATTCTTTGCAATTTGCTTGCAGATAAGCAAATAGTAATCACCTGATGAGGATTCCAGTCACTATCAAAGATTATAACAGTATCAGCAGCCTGGAGATTCAAGCCTAGCCCTCCAGCCCTTGTACTCAGCAAGAAGATGAAGTATTGTGACCCAGGTTCGTTGAACTTCTTCAAGAGAGCAGCTCTATCTTCTGATTTTGTTGTGCCTGAAAAGTAAAAACATAACAATGATGTGAACCAAAATACTCTAAATACAGTGTAATGCCTAAATGTACAGGAGGCAGTGAAATTTTAGCTCACTTGCTCCTTGTGATCTCTGCTGTATTTTCCATAATAATAAATAAAATATTGCCCATGGATGTTTCTGTCACCTGTTTTTACTACATTTGAGAGAAGGACTGCAAAATACTTGAGGGTTTATTTTTGACATTTCAAGTGTAGACTTCAAAATGCCAGCTAGCATTGCTATACTTCTTATAACTCACATAAATTTCAACTGAAGTTATTATACACAAACAGAGTTGAATGTATCTAAGTATTTTTAGAAGTCATTAGTAAATTGATTAATCAAAACGTCAGAATTTATCTTAGGAGTCACAGTAATAAGAAGAACTGAAAATTCTTAATATGTCAACAAAAATATTGTATCTCAACAAAAATATTGTATTTATCATACTGTGTATTGCCATTGACATTCTAGCATGAAAAAAGCACAAGACATCCTGTGACACAAGACAGTAAGCTTATGCTCAGTTTCATTACCTTGATTTATATTTGAGAAGGACATTGTTTGAAGTTTTTATATTCATTAACACTTGAAAAGGACTGGTATACTTCTCAATGTTAATTAACATTGCAGTACCCAAGAATAGTCAAAAGACCTTAAATGCTCATTTATTCATGCTGTTCTTCATATTTTTCTTATACCACTGCTTTTCTTGAAAAGGCATTTTGGTAAGTGCTGCTGGTCCTCTACAACAGCACCACGTGAGAGATAAATTGATTAAAAAGAAATAATATTTAAGAAGGTCGGAGATAGAGACACTCATCACAGAAGAAAACCACAATGGAAACATGGGATTTCCACATAGGATTTTGAATTTTTATTTATTTTCTTTCAATACTTCTCAATTATGTTTCCTTTTTTTTTTTTTTTTTTTTCCATTTAAATGTAAAAAAGCTACCTATTTATATATTAAATAATTGAGGCTAGCGATCTTCCTGTAAAAATCAAAAGAAATCTATAGGTACCATTTTATTTTTCACTGAAATTCATGTAACCTGTGGAGAATGGTGATGAATCTTTAGTCACCAATCAATTAATTCCACTGGAATCTAGTCAAAATACCACCATTCACATCTATAATCAAAAGAATATTTTCAGACAACTTAGGTACTAACAAGTGGATTGTAGATCTCTACATCCTCTGCATTCCAGGAACATGAATGTTCATCAGAACAATCCCTCAGCCAAATGGTTTAGATGTTAAATGGATGAAAGATAAAGTCAAAGAGACAGGAAGACAGATATATCTCAGATCGACTCTACTAAATAATCACCGTAAGTACACCCTGCTCAGTGCCTGATATGTAAGGACAGGGAATGTTCCAGTGTAGTGCACCTTATAGGTCTGTAGCTATACTTTCATAACAAATATCCTTGCAGGCTTTTCCTTCATGGAACTGTTGAACCTGTTCACACTTGTGTAGAGTCAAATCACAGCAGTGGCTTACTATGAAGAGAACTTAGGTATTCCATGATCTGGATTAACAAAGGATGCCCGTCCCTAACTTACTCATTCTGTTTTCATTCAGCTTACCATCAAGACGCAAGTAGAGGAAATTTCGAAAGGCAAAGTAGTCTTCCATAATGGTCATGAGTGATGTCATTTGACAGAAAAGAAGCACACGATGGTTTGTAGCTCGTAACTTTGGTAGGATGCGATCAAGCAGCTCAAACTTCCCTGAGGCCCGATAAAGTTCAGCTCTGTTTAAGAGAGGAAGCACAGTAAATACTAGAATAAGCCTACAAATAGAAAAGTTTTTAGTCATGGTCACATCGTAGCATAACAGAAAGATTCAGTTAAGATAAACAAGACTCATACATCTTTTTGATTTGCTTTATGTTGATTTAATAAAAAATAAACACCCATGTGAATTCCTGCTTGGAACAGATTTTTCTTCAGTGTGGACTTACAACCACAACTGCCTTTACGAAATTGAATTCTGTCTCACTGTGCATCAAAACAAACATTATTTCTCACCTAAGTAATAAGCCATTTATTTGTTGAGGCATTCACCTGTTAATTTTGCTTTCAACAGGTGTTTGTTTTTGCAGCTACAAGATGCTCTAGACAGGTATATGTCAGAAATCTTTCCATTCAACTACAAGAAAAAACTCCCTTCCTACTATGCTCAGGCAAAAGATGAATTCCAAACTGGACAGAGATAATATACAGAGATAACAGCAGAAGCTTTATAAGAATAAAAACTTTCAACGTGTACCCTTAAGCAGTCTTGCACAATGTTTAGTTGCTTTGCTTAACTGCTTCTCTTTCTCCTATGCTATGAACCACAAAACAGACTGCTAGTGCTGAAATTCAATCCATAACTAAGAAAATGAATTAAAGCAAAAAGGATGATTGAATCAACATAACAAAGATGTGTATCACAGAAATAAATTTCACTTTTTTCTAACCTTCATTATATCCTACAAATATGATTTATCATTATCAACTATATAATTAAAAAAAAGGTACATAATCTTCTCATATGCATACATACATAAACACTTAGCAATAGACTAAACTGTTTAGGAGCCAAGAGGTCTGACTAAAAAAAACAAGTTTTTTTAAAAAAGCAGCAAGTGTCAGGTACAAGATACACGCCTTTCTTCTAAAAGCATACGTTTATGGACAGTTGGATGAAGAAGTGCCAAGAAAAAAAGTTCTATTTCATTTCAAATAACTAGTGTAAGAAGTGTTACTTTAATTTAGAATAAAGATGGTAGAGAAGTTAAAGAACTTGAAAGGAACAAGAAAGAAAATTCCTTATGACGTCTTTGGAGAATCACTGCAGTAACTTTCAGGTGTCTGGTTTCTATGTAGTTTCTAGAACAGGCATGGAAAGACACCATTTTACCGCCTTCTCTGCCTGTTCTCCTGTAATGAGTGGAGAGTCATAAAAGCCTCACATAAGAGGTCTAGTACTGGTTATTTTGCCTTAAATATGTGTCCTGCATCTCCTCTGCCCTCCTATAAAAGAGACAAAAAATACACCATGATAGGAATTCTCCCAAAGTTTCTTCACAAGCACAAGTCCGCACTGCCAAGAAAACACTAAGCCATATGCATACATCACAGGGCTACCATTTGCCTCTGATCAGTAAGTCATCTAACTATAAGGACTCTTCAGTATAACAAATGGTTGACCATTACACCGTATCACAGTGAGAGCTAGTAATAGTGAGGAGAATTCTCTTATATACAAGGTATCCTGATATCAAATAATTTCTACTGGGAATCTAATTAAGAAAAGGAAATTTCATACTTTTGTGAAAGTCAAGAGCTAAGAACACTTGAGCTTGGAGAGACGGAATGCTGGAGGAAGATGTAATGAACAATTTGGAATGACACATAAACTAAGGATTCAGTTTAGGAAGTCTGAACTTATCTAGAATGAGGAAATGGCAAATCAATCTGAAATACTGCGGAATATTTTTTGAATTTTAAAATGTACTGCATTTCCATGTGCAGGGACTAGTGGTACTCAGAACTAGTATGTGCAAGGTAGATTATAGAATACCGTGGACCTGTATAAAATAATGACAGGAACAATCCTCTAAAACCCTTATCTGCTTAGCCAGTGCTATCTTAACACAGCAATTTTCAGTCTGTGTGAGAAGGACACGTGGTTTCCAGCAGTTATAGTGTTCTTTCCTTTTTCTTTGTAGAATTGCTTCTGAGCTAGAATTTTTTACACGTGTCAGACAGAGTGTATTCTGGAAAAGACTAGCATAGTGAGTATGTCTTCCAGTAAGAAGGAAACAAAACATCTGTTCCATCCATCCATCTCTCAAAGACTGAGACTGTGGATTTCAAATTTCCTGTTTAGTACAATATAATGGGAATTATATGAATTAACGTTGTCTGATGAATAAACTTTGTCTTGTTTCAGAATAAACAAATGGTAAAAGTTGGCCTGTGTGAAATCTATCACAACAGAATGTTGCACAAGTGAGTTCTCAGTCATGCAGTTAGCTGTAATCAGTTGATATATATGAAACACAGTAGTTCAGAAGTGGCAAAAATACTTTGCAAGGGTTTCAGTTTTATTGTGCGGCATGCAGTAACAACTGGACATTCATCTTTCATGTTCTATTTTCTTGGCCTGGATTAGTATAATAATGGGAGAGTTATCCTTAGCTTTGAGGAGAGAAGAGAAAAAGCAAACATAGATGTATACAGAATCAGCTATTGAGACATCCAATCAAGCATGTAAGAACTTTTAGATGGATCGCTTTTGCTACATAAGGTAATATTTTAAAAAATAAAGGAACCTGCATATTACAACTTAGCTTCACAAAAAAAAAAATAATAATAATAATAATAAAAAAAAAAATTAAAAGGCCCTTGAAGCAACAGGAAATACTCTTCCCACAGAAAGAGAAATATTTTTATCACATGTATTCCAACCATGAGAATTGAAATTTCAGTGAACAGAGGGATCCTGTGAGCAAATCTCTGGTCTTACATTAAGAAAGTCTCAGAATCCATCTTCAGACTCCCATAACCATTATCTGCTTAAGGTGAATTCTTCTCTTTATGATACAATACTCCTAGATATTAGTCAGAGAAACAACTTTCTCATTCAGGAATTAGTGATGGAGCACAGACAGAGCATTAGTCAGAGAAAGAATTCTCATTACCAATAAAGAACATTGAAGATGGTCAACTGCTAATTCAGGGACAAAATAATACTTCAAGTAAGAGTAGTGTCTTGGATGTGAGGGTGACTATGGAGATAGCCTTGCCTTATGGTTATTAGGAGTCTTCTTAACAATATTACCCTGATTTAATTTAGAAACTGCTTATGTTTGTTAGCTTCTATCTTCTAGAAAATGGATATGATGCAGTAGTCCTAAAACAGTTTATACTAAAAGGAAGAAAAAAATGAGTTACCCGTTGATGACACCATTTGAGTAGCCTAAATGTTCAGCAAAGGATTCCTGTAGAGTTACAAGCAATAAAGAGATTATTACAAAAAGGAAACCAAAATTATGCACCTTTATTTCAACTACATTAAATATATGAATGTTAAGAGTTACAGCTCTATTACGCTGATACTGTTGGTATCCACCTTGTTGCACTACTGCTTTGCTTAATATTTCTCTGTACTGCTATTATTTGAAACTCAGATTGCAAATACAGTAGAGCCTAATTAAATTACACTAACTACCAGAAGAACCAATTGAAAATTACTCGATTAGTTAACAATCAAAAGAATGAACAGTGTAACCACAACCGTGCATCAGAGTAGGTATTTGTCCATGCACAAATGTAGTTCAATTTCAGATATTTATGATACTTCCTAGATGTACTAGCTTATTTACGTACTTTGGGTCCTTCTGAGAGATCAACAGCATATTTTTGTTGACAAACAAGGTGGATAGAATAGGACGATTTTGGATACAGTGAAAGATAAGCAGTCTGCTAGTTATAAAGACTCTCTACTGCTTGGCACTCTGGACTAACATACCCTATGTCACAAATTAGTTCTGGGTAGGGGTTAAGTTAGTCTGGAATGTCTTGAATTTTAAACAAACAAACAAACAAAAAAACCTTCATTTTTTAGAGATGGTATCTCAACAAGACTAAATGCTTTAAAACTAGACTTTGGATTGCCAATAAATATAAAAGACTGGAATTACTGTGCTTTCCAAATGTCTCTTTTCCAACACAAATTATGCGTGCAGTTGTTCCTTATCAGAGACTCAAGCTTCAACAGCAGTTTTCTACTGCTGTTAGCTATACCGAATAAAAACAACTCAAAATCAAACCGGGCAACCTTACCTCAATGTGCTGAAACATGTATGGATGATTGCATATTTTTCTCAGTTGCATGATGGTGTTCATAAGAGTTTTTGCGCCACCTTTTCCCTACAGGAATAAACAATGCAAATCAAATGCTGAATTTCATTTCCTACCTAATTAAAGAAGCTTCTAAAAGACATTTTTTAAACGCAGTTAATCCAAACACCAAATTGTTATTAAAACAAAAAATAAACAAAAAAACAACAAAAGAAAGAAAAAAAAACATAGGAAACAAAGAAGATCATAATCTGTAATGCAATTATCTTGCTGCATAAATTCACCTATCATAAAGATGCTCTATAATGTAAAACAAAGACCTGAACGTAATTTGCAAAAGGTATTTTGTCTTATCTTCAGAGTCAGAAACAGTACAACTTTTGTCCTGCTTACCATTCACAATATGAACTACTTTGGATATGAGCCCTCCTGGAAGGAAACAGTACTAGCTGGATGCTTTTCAATTCTATATTATCTGCTCCTCCTTTCCGGGCCAAGCAAAACACAAGACAACAGACAGCAAAAAGACTAACTAAACACAGCGCATGAGGTGTTCTAGTATTTCACAAACTGTATTTTCAAAACCTACTCTGTAGTGAACCCTTCTTAGAAGCAGGACAGAATTCAGACAATGTTCAGTTCAGCTGAGAAAAAACACTCAAGAATCACTAGGTGCTAGACTAAGTTGTACATTTACAACACAATTATACGTAGTGGACTAATAAAGGTAAAATAAAACCAGATAATACTGCAAAAACTATGCTATCCAGTCATATTACATACTTGTAATATTCTAATCTTTACTGGAAAGTGCACTAAGAACATAACTTCATAACATCTAAAACTAAAATCATTTACAAAAGAACAGGAATTTTACATCTGGAGTGGGTACTCCATACACCTAAAACTTGTTTTTTATTCTTTTCAAAATCATCTCAAATTTTCTTGAAAAGGTATTCATATTCACACTATTTCCTGAAGCTCTGTTGCTTAATGTATTCTCTCTCATGTGAGCTGGTCGCTGGCTAGACTTGGCAAAAAAACATGATTTTTAACTAACAGCAGTTTTTTGTTGAATGAACTTACAAGTGCTCAACAACCTTCGCCTCCCTCTGCTGGCAATGAGTAGCATTGAATAAAAGTGCCTGATAAAGCAGTCATAGACAAGAAAGTGAATGAAGAGAGGGTTGGAAGACAGTGAAAAATGATACCCTTGAAGACTGGAAGTAGAGGAAGTCTTAACACAACAGAGCCAGTCCGAAGTAATTAAAGAAAAAGGAGAAGCACTTAAAGCACTGGAGAAGCAACTATGGAAGAATCAACAAAACATTCTGAGGTAGTGTACCTGCACAAGGATGGTGAAAAGACAGTATGTGTTTGCATTATATGAGTAAAATGCACAGAGTAGAGCCAAGTAGGCACAAACAAAACTTGTATGCTAGCTGTTCTGCAGTGTTCAAGTCCTCTATAGCAAGAACTCTCACGGTGCATTCAACGTATTTCACTTTAATCATAATGTCATAACATATACTGTATACATAATTAAGCTGATGAATGGAAATCTCCTTTTCCTGTATTAGCTGAAGACCCACAGTGTCATAATCAACATTTATTAATATGCATTCTAACATCCAATTCTACGAATCTGAATCCTACTGTTCTCTTAAGAACCTTTTCATTAATAGATTAATTAAATATGATTGCTGTCCAAAACCAGATTTAAGCTAAGAGCTCTGGAAGATGACAAGAATAGCCTCTCACAGCCAGGGCTTCTGCAAGCACAATTACTCAGATAACTTCTTAAACTCAACCAAGAGAAATACTGTTTGTTGTTTTGTTTGTTTTTTTTTTTTTAATTTTAAATATTGTCTATTTGAGAAATGTATGCACACTTACTGTTTCTTTTTTTTTTTTTTTTTTTTTTTTTTTCCTTGTGAATAGTGAAGAAAAGCTACAGTCAAAGATACCTGCAGGAACAGTCTACATACTAACTTCATGAAACAGAAGTCATATGTTCAAGAAGTAATTTTAATGCATTGTTTCCTGTGTGTTCTAGTCTGTGTCTTGTACCTTCTTGTCTTTCTCAGAACCATCTGTAAGAAGGATTCCCTTGGCTTGCATGTGTCGGTATAGGATCTTCTGGAGAGCAGACATATCACATTTGATCACATATTCCACCTAGAGTTTAAAAACAAACAAACAAACAAACAAACACATTGATATACTAATTTTAGCAGAATCTAGCTGCAGGTTCTTGTCATCCTAAAATACTAACCAAAGAACTTACTCTTTTATCCATAACCTAACAGCACCTTTGATTTCAGCAAGCAGCAAACAAAATGCAAGCATAGCAATAGGTACATCAAAGCATTATCTGTGAGTCAGAACTACCATTAAACAGCTGGATTCTGAGAGTGTAATTGCAAAACTTCTGAACACTTTGTTCTCATCTTTTAATAATTAAAAAATATGTTTAAGTAATGTTTAACTTACTGTTTAACATGGAGTTTAAATAAAATAAAAACAAAACCAAGAACCAAGCATGTACACTTAACAGCCTGTGGATGTTATGATGTCTGCAAAGCACAACAAAAATCATTGTTGTACATTTAGTAAACAAGCATAAGTATCCCTTACATGCCTATCTAGCATTATGCATACCTAAACTAGAATGCAGTCAGTTTAAGTTCTTATTCTCCTTTGTACAACTGCATTTATGAAAGCAAGTTTTGACTGTTCATTGCCTTTAAATCAATTCATATTCCATTCTAACATATTTTTTCTATCACCCAACTTCTGAATTACAGGCATTATGTTTTTAATTATGTGTAAACATAAATAAATGAATAAATAGCAGTCCCATAATAAAGCCGGATTGACCAGAAATCTTACAAAAGGACTAGAAAAATAAGCTGTCTAGTAAGTAATAAATAACCAATAGAAATTATAAAGTTATTTCCATATAAAAAGGACAGGAGGATGAAATCATAAAAAGAGAAGTAACTATCTCCTTAATGTCTTCTTTGCCAAGATGTAATAAGATCAAACAGAACTGATTGGGTCAACAAGTTTAGTGCTCTTAGCTGAAGTAACTACTTTCTTTTCTGAACATGGTATGGAAACAAAAACTTCTAAAGCCTCCCTTCTCCAGTGCCTGTTAACAGATTTATCAAAAACACTGACTCTTAACTGGACTTAGAGTCCACTAAATTAGGATTAAATTAGAAGCCTAAATTAGAATTTTTAAAAAATTACTAATATTTTTTAAGTTAAGTATGCTTCATTCTCAAAAAGATGTTGCATAGGAGGGTGCTAATAATCTGACTGTTGAAGGAACAGAAAGCCACAGCAGTAACAGCATTCACAAGCCACAAAAATGAGAAAGACTTAAACTTTCCATTTAAGTATGTATGTACAGAGCTATTTGTTCATTCACTGTTCTTTAACTCATGAAATGCCACACATACAAAAAAATCACTTTTGGTACTGCTTCAACCCAGAAGACCTTAGAAGCAAATTTTTCCTTACTGTGCTTTCAAATTTACTTTAAAAAAAAAAAAAGAAAAAAGAACAGAAAAAAACCATATCAACATATCTACTGTCGTTATTTTGAGAATAAAACTGAAAGGTGATACAGGACAGCAGAGGAAGATGGAATAGAACAAAATGAGATGCATGAAGACAACATTTCAAATCAGAACATAATTTTACATTCTGATTACAAATCTACATTCTACGTTTAAACAAAACAAAATAAACTTTTGACACTGCACGTAACTCAGAACTCCTGGAATAGGAGTTACAAATTTACAATAAAATTCTGTCCACTTTATAATGTCAGTAATAATAATGATTTTCTGTGCAATGGTTAAAAAGGTTCTACCCAGTGTGGGGAAGATGGGATAGGACAGAATCTAATGCCCACTTACCACTTCAAATTCCAAGAGAACTAAGCTGATGGCCTTACACTTATCATGAATGACAAATAGAATTAAAGCTGCAAGACTGAGGATGAAGACTGAGAATACAGAAACTTCAGGTCTTCAGGATTCCTCAGCTTTCTTTGCAAGGAGTTATGAAAAAAAAAAAAGCTACCCACAGTTGTTAAAGAACCACTCTTCTGTAAAATAAATCTGAAAAAAACCTTATCACATAATACTTTAAAAAAATGTATTAGACCCCTTCCACAAATTCTTTCACTGCAAACCTTTTCTGGCAGTTGAGACTCCACTTCCTTCTTCAGTCTTCTCAGCAAGAAGGGTCGGAGTACTTTGTGGAGACGACGGATGATCAGAATAGTTTCTTCTTCATTTAAGTCCACCTACAGAAGTTTATAGAAGTCACTACAAGACTACTTACTATGTCATGTCTTATCTCACATGAAAGCCAAGTATGTGCATTAATTGTATGTTACAATCAAACTGATTCAGAGTTTAAAAAAAAAAAAAAAATTGAAATTTTCTGGCATTAGAAAAGGTAGCTTTTAATTACATTAAATCCTTAAATACCAGAGAGAATTTAAGCGCTACTGTGCTTCTGAAAACAAAATGGAGCTCATGCCAAGTATTTTGTTTCTGATGTTCAAAAAAAAAAAAATAAAATCCTGATACAGTACCCTTTCTCCTGTCATGGCAAATGGAGCATTGAACCACTGTTCAAAGGTGCTACAGCTCTTGAAAATGGTTGGAAGAAGAAAATTGAGAAGAGCCCACAGTTCAGGCAATTTATTCTGCAATGGTGTCCCAGTCAGTAGTATTCGTCTAGGGGCCACATAGTGAGTGTTCAAGACCTGAGTCAGTTTGCAGTGATGATTCTTCATTCGATGACCTTCATCTACTATCATGTATTTCCATCGAATCTGGAAAAAGAAAAAAAAATTAAAAAAAGGAAAGTTGGCAAAGCTAAGCCAGACAGAAATTCTTCCCAACAGGTGTAAATCAAAAATATTTCAAATGTGAAACATCAATAAAGGAAATAAAAAATATATCAAGCATTATCGAAGCACGGGTGGCCTTACAAACAGCAAAAAGAATTTGGGATGTCTGACTACTTAAGGTCAGAATATGATTTAGATGGGAAGAAAGAGACTACGATTTCCAAATAAATCTGTTTGCAACAACAACCTTGACAAAAGACAAAAGAATTTTCAATCCAAATAACTAAGCTTTCAAGCAACAGCAAACCCTCAACCTCGCTTTGATTCAACTAGTGTCATGTTTTTATTTGTGAATGAAGCAGGATAGTTAAGACCGCTTCTGTTACTACACTTCAAATTAGCTTTCTAGTTTTTAATGCGGAAGCTGAAAGTCGCAGTGGATGCTGAAATAAAGTTGCTCATATTGTCAGTTATCATCCGGCAAAATTCCATCTAGAGTACTGCATCCAAGGCTGCAGCTTCCAGTACAAGGACGTTGCGGAGCTGTTAGTGGGGGTCCAGAGTTATAAAGATGTTCAGAGGGCTGGAGCACCTCTCCTATGAAGAAATGCTGAGAGAGCTGGGGTTGCTCATCATGAAGATAAGACTCTGGGGATACCACGTTGCAGCCTTCCAGTACACAAAGGGAGCTTATAAGCAGGAGAGGGATCAATTTTTTACACGGTCTGACAGTGACAGAGCCAAAGGGAATGGTTTTAAACTAAAAAAGCAGGGATTTAGATGCTAGGAGGAAATTTTTTTCCTCACAGGCTGGTGAAACATTCGAACAAGGCTGTCTAGAGAAGCTGCGGATGCCCCATCCCCAGAGGTGTCCAAAAACAGGCTGGATGTGGCTTCAGGCAGCTTGATCTAGTGTTGGCAACTCTGCCCACAGCAGGGGGTTGGAACTAGGTGATCTTTAAGGTCCCTTTCAACCCAAGTCATTCTATGATTCTATGTTTCTGTTTTGTGTACCATATGAAAGTATTTGTACATCTTGCCATTAAGAGACAATAGTCATTATTACCTTAGCAAGAATATGTTTGTCCTTTATTATGTACTCATATGTAGTCAAAAGAACATTAAATTTTCCACTTCGAAGCTGAGGAACAAGTGAGCGGCGCATTGCAGGTGTACCCTAAAAGAGAGAGGGAAATGAGTATTTTGTGATTCATTCTTCCAAGGAAGTAATCAGGTCCATCTTTTTAGGAATAAGTAGACGCAGAGCAAGCACATGAATCCTATAGCATTGAAAAGAATTTATTTATATATTCCAAACTTATTCAATGTCCTTCCCCTAACTTGTTGCTAGAATACACAATCTTCTTTTTTTCTTTTTCTTTTTTTTAAATACCAGGGAATGAAAACATGCTAGTCTAGTCTTATTACTATTGCCTTCCTCATCACTACTACAGTAGTCAAAAGGCAAAGTAGTCAGCTATGTATAAAATGGGAAGTATTGCTCATTTGTATTGTTCTCATTAGAAGCTTTGCAAAATATGGTAATTAACAATTTTCTTCTGCATTTCACTATCTGAAAGCAATTATAGTTCATTACAGTCATCTTCTCAGGATGATTAATTCTCACTGCTTGTACATGAAATATATGTGACAAATTTGGAAATGCATGCAGAAGCAAAGGAAAAACAGTCTTTATTCTCAACCCTTCACATTTATAATCACATAAAAAGTGAATCAAACCTTGTAAGATATCTTCACCACAGAAGGAGCCCACTTGTCAAATTCATATGTCCAGTTGGATAACGTCCTACCATAGATGAAGAAATAGTTCATTACTTGTAATTCAGATTGTAATTCCCAGTGGATGCATAATTTTCAACACATTCCATATAATCAATCCCCATAATTAAATTAAGTAAATTAAAGAAAATAAAAATCATATACTGTAACAAAAATCTTGCATTTGAGAGAAATGGAAACAGGAAAAAAATGGGAAAAATATCTTTCAGCTCACATTCAGAAGCCTCTTCAAAATTAATCCAGATTGTATTTTATAGTAATATTGATATTCTGGAGTATATTATGGGCAGGAGAGGTAAACCAGAATAGAAAATATATTTGTGAATTATTTTACACTACTTAGGATCCACAAAGTGAGTTTGTAACTTGTAAAATACAGCCTTATGATGTTGACAGTAGAATTCATCTATTTTCCACTGTAATGACATTAATGTCATTGAGTGCAACTATGCAGGTCCTGACATCTGCACTTTATTTCCACCACAAGGTCACAACAAACAGCTTTTTAAGTGCAGCAAAAGTAGATCTTTTTTTTTCTTTCAATAACTAGACCTGCAATGGCAGAAGCAATGGCTATTAATGTTAGAATATGGAAAAAGATAGAGAAGGAAGCCTTTTGTAAAGCCTATAAGAATTTCAGCTCTTCTCTTTCAGAAACAAAAACAGGAAAAAAGCAATAGTGAGTACTCAAATGAAATTTTACAATTTTACTGTGCCTGTAAGAAAATACATATTAATAACATCCCTTATTTTTGACTTCATTTTACTTTATAGCATTTCTTCTTGTCATTTCTGCTCACACTAGAGCATGTCATATGTCCTCATAGAATAAGGTATAGCTATGATATTTATGCTACTTAACCACTAATGCAGCACAGTGAGAAAACAGGATGCTTAAAAAGAAATCATAAAAGATGGCCATGAATAAAATATATCCCAATCCTACAGTACTTGCATGCTCTACACAATCAGTACATGAATTATCTAACAGTAAGGACAAGGAACTTTGGTATATAAATGAAGACATTTATCATGTACACACAAATATAAGAAAACAAATCCTCAAGATACTATATTCATTTTACAATACCTAATGGCTTTTCTTTAAAACTCAGCATTTCAAATCCCTGGAACTCACACCTTGTCTTTGGTGAAAGCAAAATTCATTGCAAAAAAAATCTATAAAACTACTATAAAAAGTAGAATCTTGGAAAAGGAACAGGGGGCAGTAAGACAGATTATTACAGTCATAATACTGCACAAATGACCAAGTTGTGAATTCACACATCAAAGCTACAGCAAGGGCTAGCCATACAGTAATTAAAAGACTATCCTATCTTAATCAAATATTGCTTACTATTTGATGGGGTAACATTTGTTTAAAGAAGTAAAAAACAGATTTTGAGTATCACTGTTAAAGCAGTAGGGGGATCTGCAGGTATGTAATCTGAAAGAAAATGCCATTCTCCTCTTGTGGTTAAGGATTAAACAATGGTAAATTCACTATATGTTTTGTAAAAAGAACAAGACATGAAACCAGTGGAAACATGTTCTTTGATGAGCCATGTGGTTAACCTTCTGGTTCCAGACAATTACTTGGGAAGAAATCAAAATGAAAGCACAGATGTGCAGTGTGTCTCAGTGTGCCCCCTCATCTTGGTACAACATGAAAAACAAGCATGTATTCCTAAAAAATCAACCTGTAATGCTTAGAATTATAATAGATGAATGAGTTCTCTACTTACGAAAGAGGAACAATGATGAGATAGGGGCCATTGAGCCTTTTGTGCTCCATCAAGTAAGTGATAAGTGCAATAGTCTGTATTGTCTTTCCCAGACCCATTTCATCAGCTAAAATCCCATTCAGATTGTTATTATAGAGTGAAACCATCCATTCCAGTCCCTGAAGCTGAAATGAAGAATAATATTTTCTGTTATTTAAAACATGCACAAGTAATTAACATCAACAGTAAAAATCTGAAGATTCTCATGACCTGCCTAGTTAAATGCTGGGTTTCCTTCAATAACTCTAGGAGCACGAGAATCTCTGTCTATCTTAACTTCTTTTCTCCCTTTCTCCTCTAGCTGTAATCACCCACTACTCATTCCCCCCCTACCTAAACAAAAATAAGCAGACACAAACAAACACAAACAAAACAAAAAAATCCTTCAGGATTGTTCCTGGTAGTAGCTATATCAAAATGTTGTCTCCTGTTCACCGGAAAAGACCAAAATGTAGTCAGATTTCATACATGGAGAAATATTTTTTATTTTTTTACTTTTTGCAGAAAGAAATGCAGGCACTCTTTTATAAGGCTGACGAACACCTGACATTACATTAATTTCTCCCTCAGTTTTAGCACTAATGAAATCAGAAGCTTCTTGCACATTTTGAATACAATTTGTGTGCCTCATCAAAAATCTTCTAAAATCAAACCTGCTGATTCTGTGCAACACTTGTAAATCTCTTGTGTTTGGTAAGCCCTCACACTTCCCAACTGCATCACTGATGTTCTGAGCCTCTTGTAGCAGGCACCAGTATCTGGCTGTCAGTATTTCCTTGCCAAAGAACACCCCGTTCATATACCTTGTATATAAAAATCCCAGAGCTGGAAAGATTCCAGAGTACTGTAGCTAAGAGATATCTGTATAACAGGAGACCTTTACATTTCAGAGAGCATTACTAGAAAGCACAGCTATAACCACAGTTTTAGGATTCACATTACTGACTTGTCACGTGGTCTTCCATGTGTGTATGTATATGATTACTTATACAATTGCAATCTAAGTTTCTGTTTCTAAGATCCAGACTTTCAGTGCGTTTCAGACATGGAGAGAAAACTAAATTATGAAGTCCAAGAAAGTTGAGAGAGAAAACAATGTATGTCTGAAGTAACCTTCTACTGTCTCTGCAAGAAAATATTCAAAATAATGTTGCTGATTTACTAGGTTTATGTATGTGCTTACTGATTTACATCTGGGTACTAAGTTCTCTGGAAACTAATTTTATTGAACTCAAGACATCAAGAACAGATCAGAATTTATTCTGCAACTGTATGTTTCACTTACAAGTAGCTTCAGAATTGAGGACAGGGACCCAGTCCTTCCTGTATCATTCAACTTTCTCTCCTGACATACATCAGTACTCTTATGTCAAGAAAAGAATCTAACCAAATTTGACAGTAAGAAATACGGAAAAGCAGAAAAAAAGCTAAGAAGGAAAAAAGGATATAAAATACAGAGGACAGGAAAGTATAGAGGTTCAAGGGGACAGCTACAAAACACCGAAGTCTCCTTCAAAAAATTTCTGCTAGAACCACGGACAAGCATTAATGCTCTTGCCATAAGCTCTTCTGCCAAATATGTCTCTTATTTCTTGTAGTAGTAATCATCAAATAGAAAAGATATAAAGAAGAACAAAATCCCCAGTTCAATTGCTAGATATCACTTAAATAGCTGAAGGATCTGTTCTAACTGGTAATTTCTGCCACTATTTGTCTAACTCCACAGATTGAATTATTTTACTCTGTGATACACAGGGAAATTGCACTGCAAAACACAGATCAACATGACTTAACAATATCTCTATGCTTCAAAAAATAATTAAAATACAGGAAGAATTGTCACGCTCCTGTCCATGAGCATGTTAAGCTAATATGGCCATCAAATTTATACTGTCATACACTGACTTTATTTATTGCATCAAATTAACCTTCCCAGACAATGAAAAAGGATTACACAGTAAACAAGCCTGTGATGAATCCCTGCTTCATTTGGTGTACAGCCTGGACAACATATGACAATGAGGCTGTAAAAATAAAGAGGACCTCAGAGCCAAGAAAGTCACATTTTTATCCTAAGAGTGAATCAGATTCTATCTTGTCTTAGTAATAGTTCCTCAATGGTGCTAGAAATGTTAACTCAGCACTTTCAAAAATCAGTTAATAAATAACAACTTTCTCTTTTTGTTGAGTACTCAATGTGAAACACTTCTGCAAAAACTTGAGAAAATAATTCAAATTCAGATGGAGTTTTGCTTTGGACCAACATAGGATCATGCAATAATTCATTTTGGAATAGGTTTCAGGAAATCTTTAGCCCAAAACAGGCTAAGACATGTTGCTCAGGGCTTGATCTGCTTAGGTACTGAAAATCTCCTAGGAAGGAGATAATAAAACTGCTCTGAGGCTTTGCTCCATTGTCCTTGCAGGGAAAAAGTTGGACCATACAACCGGTCTGAATGCTCGTTTCACCTTTTGTTCATTCTCTTGTTCTCCCACCATGTAGAGGAGTTCAATTAAAAAAACCAAACAAACAATGAAATGCTTTCAAAAGACAAAATTAGCTTAACACTTGAATTCTAAGTAACTTAAACAAGCTACTGTAATATATGGTAGTACTGAGAACCATACAGAACAGGGACTAATTCTGACACACTGAGCACTTAGGAAATAGTCTTCCTCCCAGTTCTCTGGAAGTGCAAAGACATACATCTTTATGGTAACTCAGAGAATAGCTTTTTTTTTTTTTTAATTTGGATATGCAGATAACGGAGTGGTCAGATGGCATAAAGGATGCAAAGTCCATAGAGCTCCCTGGAAAACAACACAACATTCGAAGTGCCAAAAACACCTGCTAATGACATTTTCAGTGTATTCTGCTTAGGCCAGAACACAGAAACTCTTAAGTTACTAAATCCATTAAATGTCTATAAAGAGTATGAGATGTTATCCTCCATAGTAAATGTTTTCTTTCTCTCCAAACTGTAGTGTATACTGTATACTGAAACGTCAGGATTTTAATTGAAATATTAAATTCTCAACTTTTAAATATTGGAAGAAAAGATTACTGTTAAACACCACAAATGAAAATTTTAAGCAAAACTGCAACCAAGATGGTTTCAGTCATTGGTCCAAGAAGGATAGTAAAAACAAAACAATATTGAACTGTAATGAAAAATGTTACAAGTACACAGATAAAGTTGTATTATAATTCAAGCACTAAGCATTAATCATTATCTGTGACAGATAACTGATATCTTTGTTCATGTGAATCCTTATTTCTAACCTAATTGAATTCTTGTAATACTTAAAAAAACCTTGTGTTTGTCACTTGAAATACCACATTGAAATATCTAACACTATCCGAATTTTAAATATTATAATGTTTCAATTATTTCTCACCTGATAATGTTTTAGTGTGCCATTAATTAGAAGAGAAGACTGCTTTTCCACCCTTTCTGTGATAGCATGTGCAACTGTGTAGTAGGACTGAGACCCTCTAGCACTATATTGCATACTGTATTCATCATCCACATCTTGTTTGGCAGTCCTGCAAAGCAGAGAAATGATTAAAGTAAATTTCCAGAAACAAACAAATCAACAATGAAAAAAGTAAACAGTATGTTTTGACCGTAGGTCACATTTATTTGTAAAGAAATGCTAATCACAAACTCTGGCAAGTGCTCTGGATGGAGCTAGTCTTCTAGCAGTACATAAGATAGCCAACTATTACATGCTGCCTTTTGCAGATTTTCTTGTCAAAGAAGCAGCTATAACTCACTGTAAACTACAGCAAGCCATTCCTGGGGGACACCACTATAAGAAATCACAATTCCTAACAAAAGTAAAAACAAAAGTAGCACGTGCAGAACACTCACTCAATGATTTGCTTAGCATCTTTCTCAGAAACTTCTTCACTGTTAGGATCCAGGAGTATCTTCTCATCTGCCTCTAACCTGCTTGATTCCTCCTCATCATCCTACATAACACAGAAGAAGAAACAGCTGTTAGAAAATGTAACTACTTTCTAAATGATACTTTCAGTGGGCATTCACAAACTGGTAGGTTTCACTGGTCAGTGTTTTATGACAGGAACTTGAATCCAGAAGTCCATCCTACACTTATGTTTCTATAGAACTGCACTACAGCAAAACAGAAATATAATGTTTGACATACATTCTTCAACATAATGTCACAAATCTCTGAAATAAGAAGTATCTTCCCCTTCAATCATCTTATTTTAAGAAGTCTTACTATGTCTACTCAGTACAGGGAGAAAATTCCACAACTATGCATGCTTTTGTACTGTATTCCAGATTTGTGACAATTTAATGCAGTTTAAAAAATTGGCAAGTGTGGTCTTTCACAGGTTTTCATTTCTTATTTTTAAAAAATCACATTTTTTTTCTTTTAAAAATCATTTAATTTCCCTCTGCCTACAGCAGTAATGGATCAACAGCAACTTAAATTTTCAGAAATGAGAAAGAGGAAAGAATACTGACTTTTGTGAGCCATTTCCCCAACTCAGAACAACAGATGCTGAAGAGCCTGTACTAGAAACATAGGCACATCTCAATTGTGGCCCAAATCTGACAGATACTAGTCCCTGACTTCCCATCTTAATACATGCAATCCTCTACAATAATTAGTATTTCTCCACTCCTAAGCTCTTCTCTCCTTTAGAAAGTATTTGTCTGTGGAACCTCTGGCATTGATCATCTGCAGTATCTAATGCTACAATCCTAAGGGAGCAGTTAGCAAGGTAACCTGACTGTAATGAGAAAAATTCTGACATAAAATGATTCTCAACACAAACAGGAGCAAATATGTCTGCCAGCCTGAAAACTCAGTCTGAAAACATCCACTCAGCCAGAGCTTTTAAAGGAAGACGCATCTGTGCAGACTGTGGTCTGTGGGTAGTGTCTGGACCTTTCTCCTGGAGCAGAGGTGAGTGGCAAACTTGACTGTGTTAAGATGTGCCCAGGTGGACGACCTCCTGTGACAGCTGACTGACCTAACTTGTCTAAACTGAGGTAGACAGATATAGACATGATTCCCACTGGATAACAACTACTGCAACTAAGGAAAAGCGATGGGTGATAGCGGTGGGTGATTCTCTTCTGAGGGAGGGGTACAGAGGCACCCATTTGTCATCCTGGCCTGCTACCTAAAGAGGTCTGCTGCTTGTGAGGGGCCTGCAACAAAGAGTGACAGAGAGGCTGCCAGACCTTGTACAACTTACAGACTACTACCCCATGCTGCTGTTGCCAATAGGCACCAGTGACACAGCCGTCAGCAACCTGAAGAAACCAAGCCTGAGAACTTGGCCTTCAAACATAGGAGCTCCGCGGGGGAACTGAGCACATTCTTTACGTGTGGCTGAATACCAAATACCAGAGGCACCCTGAAAATATCACTGACAAAAAAGAAACTAGAAACAGAACAACTTATCGCCTGAGAAAATGAGAATCAAAGCGAGAAATAAATTTTTGTTTAAAGAATATAAAGGAAAACAAGAAACATCATCCTTGTATTTCTCAGTAGGAAAACAGAAATTAAAGCACCTAAGCAGTGGAGTCCTACGCCCTCTTATGTCTCAATATAAAAACGGCATAACTTCTATCCAAGGCAGAGTTTCTCTCTCTGAGAATCTTACCATGTTGCATATACTCCTTTTAATTGGTTTTTAATTTCTCTTCAGAAATAGGCTGAAGCTTCACTGGTAAACAGAATGAACTCTGTGACTCACCAACACTGAAAATTAAACTCTGTGACACTGCACATGCCATGACACAGATCAACTCTGAATCAAGGCTATGTCCCTTATTTGGATTTCCCTTATGGGCCCACTCCTGGGAGCCGTCAGCCTCTCCTGAGATAAGTTCTAGATTCCCCTCCACCCCCATTTTTGAAACCTATTTGATGCATTTGATATCAGTAATTTTACAAATACGTATGCACATACATGAGCTCTCAAGTATCCACTGGTAGGTATAACCAATCACAAGTCTGTTTGCTGCATTGGTAAATTTGGAATCCATGAATATTATTGTTGTCAGAGTACTGCCAAAAACTTTACTGAATCTGCAGTTCTCTTTAAACCGTATCTGCCACTGTATTAGTGATCTTCCTACCTCAAATTGCATCTTAGTTACTAACTCTAATTACTGCTACTATTCACTGTTACTATATCCTTTCTGTCTGATACATACAGTAGCTTTTTATCCAAACACACAGTTATTAACCTTACTAATCACAGTATTCTTGCTAGCAGTGGTATGTATTGACAGGAAATCTTTAAAAAACAAAAATGTTTAATAAAAAAAGGCTCAGTGTCCCTGCAGTAAGGAATCCTTTGAGGTCATTATATTGATAACAATGCACCTGCAGATCAGGTAACCACAAATCCCCACTTTCAGACCCTGACAGGTGCTTCAGGGTCAGGATATTCACATGTATTAATCTTAAGATTCTTCCCTTTTTTAACCTTTGGAACAGCTGTATTTAAGTCACCAATGAAGTACCAAGTCAAATAAACTCGATTTCAACAGTCTGAATCTAAGCCTCCAACACAATTCCCTATGTTTTCACTCTTAAAACAACTGGACATCTGGTACTGGTTTTCTTCTGACCTTACTAAAAAGATGAGAATATCATATGGGATAAGAGTTTGGTTTTTACTGGAACACTTGTCACATCATTACTGTTATTATTATTTCTTTAAAGACACATACCTCCTCCTCATATTCAGAACCACTTTCATCTTCACTGTCTGACCTGGGAGCAACTTCATAGCTACACAGAGAAGACAGCATATGAATTACAGATAATAAAAGGAGGAGGGATAAGGTTCAACAAATGTCATATTCAGCTTACACGTAGTAAATTGAAAGGAGAAGGAATAAGTAAAAAAGAAAAAAGAATAATTAAGATAAATCAATTAAAGCAAATCAAAAGAAAAGCCCACACATATGCTAAGTACTTACCCAGGGTTCATTTCCAGCCAAGCATCTAGCTGACTTGCTTTTGGTGCCTCTGGACCAAGAAGAACTTTGCCTGTTTCAGTGTGAGTCACTTTGACTGGAAGGTCACTCATTTGGCTGCTCTCGTCTATGGGCTAAAAATTCAAGCAAAATTTCACACCATAAGGCAACTAAATTTCATCCTTGCCATGCAAAATGAAAAACAGCAACTTCAGAATTATAGATCTGAACAAGGAGCAAAGTCTTATTAGTAGACACAGCTTCCCACGTGGCTATGAAGCCAATTCTGAATGACAGTATTTCTGTACGTAACATATCTTTATGTGACATACACAAATATATCACAGGATTTCAGTTGGATTAAAAAGAGCAACAGTGAGCAGAAGACAGTGCTGACCTGTATGAAAGAAGAGATAAGGTTTGTATGCTTATGGTCATTTAATTCCAGTTGTTAATACCAATGGACATCTACAACAAGAAATATACCTTGTGGCCTCTTCTCTTATATAGAGAGTTCAGGACATAACAATTTCAAACTTTTTAAGTAAAGAAAGCCTGCAGCAGAATTGCCAGTTCACAGTGTGAACCAATGGCTGAGCCACCAGACATGGCTAACCCCAGGAGCTCAAGTGCAAACAAAGCACCTCAGTGACCAGAAGGAATTGATCACCCCTCTTCACACTCGTTTTAAGGGTTAGCAGCCAATGGAACAGCATCTCTGGATAGAGATTGCACTCCTCTTGAGCCACCACTGGTCACTGGAAGGGGTTATCCCATTCTCTGTCTCTGCCACCTGCTATTGCTCCATAATGCATCCTTCTAGAAGGCACCATCATCACCTTCTTTTCCCATACAGATCTATTCTAAAGATTTACTGTTCCGACTACTTCAGTTATGTTCATAAAGTACTTGCAATAAGAAGTCCTCTTACTAACTCCACTTCTGTTAAAAACTAGAAGAGCAAGATTACACTTTTCTGTTACTTCTTCCCACTTAATCACAGAATTTCTACTTTAAAAACTTTTTGCCTTCTACTACTGCCTACACTGAAGAATTCTTTCCTAACATGCACGAGTAGGAAAAAATAAATAAAACAGTTAAAAACAAATTCACTGAGTTTAAAACTTATACTCTTCACAAATTCCAAAGTTAAAGTGCTATCATGTGTATTTTCTTTGAGCAGTGTGAAACTATATTAATGGAGTTTATGATAAATCTTTAACTATACCAGGAGAAGTCTATTTAAAGCATAAAAAAGATGAGAACTAAAATAATACCTAAAATTATGAAATATTTATGTGAAAATGGAACAGAAAAACAGCATTAACAGGATGTTAATGAAACAGAATATGTTCTGCTTCATTATGTTGTTATTATAAAAAAATATTAATCAAAGAAAGACTCAGAAAAAATTTATCATTTTTATCTGCCTGAGCAAGCAGGAACATTCTGATACATTAAGTCATCATTCCACTATCATCCATCCTATATCTGGAAGCCTGCCCACAGTGGGGAGGAGGGTGCAACTAGATGACTTCTAAGATCTTTTCCATCCCAAGTCATTCCATGATTCTAGCAGAGGTAATTGACAGTGGCAATAATGTAATTTTTAATTTACTGAGAAGCTAGAATGTAGGTGATTACAACCACATTTTAAAAAGTAAATTACATCTACTCATGGGTTGCAAGAAAATTGTTTACTTTTAAGCACGTAAAAAAACTAAGAGGAATTAATCAATATACTCAGTGATACATTCGACACATTTTTGTTTCAATCTTTTTCCATCTTTTTTATTAGACAGAACTTCAACATGAATGTTAATCTGGATAGCATTTTTTTCCGCTCAGAAACAACAGGTCTTCAAGCATTTGAGGGCGTGACTTTTGGTGAAGCTATCTCAGTGGCACATACCACAAGACAATCATTGGAGAAGTTGTAAAATTGTAAAACAATACCTCTCCATCAGGACCAAGACCAGATGCCATGCCTTCTGCATTTTCTTCAGCCTTCTACAAAAAACGAAGTAAAGAGCATCATGATCAGTCACAAGAACATACTGAATACTTGATATTACATATTGAATAATTGATACTACATTTATATTACTCTGCACCACAAATAGGTCTCAATCCATGTCTGCAGTGTCTGGAATCCATGTAGTTTAGAAAAGACGGATACAGACAGATTTGCACACACAGCCCACTTACCACATGGTACATACAACACCTCCAGTCCTTGCAATGAATCTGAAAAATGGCTAGCCTTCTGAATTTCTCATCATGATCACAGCTCAGTGCTTACAGAGAGTGTCAACAGCAAACAGTTTCCACGTGATTTACTCTTGATTTCTTCTAAACTGATTTAAACTCAGTTTCAGAGATGTCACCAAGCATCACAGCTGATGTATTTCTGCATGTACTTTTAATTCAGGTATGTAAACAATTAATTTTTGGTCTGACACTAACTACCAGAGCCCTTTGGAAATTCTTTGTGCTATATCTTAAGTTCAGACCACAGTTGCTCAATTTACAAATAAAAAGAAGTTTGATGGTAATAGCTGAAGTGAGTTGGATGTTTATCTTTCAAGACACTACTCTGAGAAATAAGGTGTTTCTTCACCAAAGTCTGTCCTCGTTTACCCTATTTAAAAATGCAGAGATGACATGAAAAAAATGGAAGACAGATGGCTTCTGAAGTGGCACTTCCCTAAATAGTTTTGAAAACAGCTAAGGACAGATGCAGCTTCTGTCTCATAACAGTGCAGACTTTGATACACTACAGCACAGTTTTACTTGGGTTACCAGTGCAAATAGATCGCATTGAGAACAAGAACAGATCTTTCAAATTGTATTTTAAACAACTTTCAAGTACTGTTAACAGGTGCTATAAATTTACATAATTCTGGTTGTTTTATTTTGCTTTGCTTTGTTTTTTTTCTTTTAAAGCATAGACAAGCTGCACTTCTGAACACTGAGATGATCCTCAATATCTGTTTCCAATCAAAACGAATTCTTTGCCCTTAGAATCCATCTCCAAGGCACGAACTCCAGGTGAAAGTGCAGTAATAGAAATGGGCCAATTTTACATTTTGAAAAACTTGATTCTCATTTTACATAACCTTCATACTTCAACACACATACCTACTAAACTTTGTTAACTACTCTTTCTCTTGTATTACAAAAAAAATAGACTAATTCAGCTAAGCCTACTTTTTGTCTAAAGCCTTTAAAATATTTATAAAATATAATCACAGAATCATAGTACGGCCCGAGTTGGAAGGGACCTCAAGGATATATAACATTTTTTAACAGAAAAAAATAACCAAAAGGAGAGGCTTATATACTTTTTCCTGGACAATACAAATATCATTGGTCCTGCTCAATACAAAAGTAGCTGCTGCCCAGTTAAGGTCAACATCAATATGAGCTCAAAGGCTGCTTGCTTTAGCATTTCAGAGCAGCATGATCATCTACTGACAGAGAAAGGAACTGTGCCAGATCTAAACCGGTTCATACTGAGTGGTAGGATAAGTTACAACAACATGTATCTGGCCTCAAATGCAAAGACTTCATTTACTTGAGAATATTACTTTTCCTTGGATGAACGAGGAGGTGGACAGACATCCATTATTTTGCATTTGAGACTGTCTCTAACATGTAGAGGCTTTTGCAAATTAGTTATAATCAATGCTTACAACTCAAGCACACAACTAAAGAATACGAGGTTCACTTTGACTGCATAATATTACACCTGGCAAAAGCAGCATGTATTTTTTCATGACCTATTACCTCACTGTGATTTGTAGGAGAAAATTCTTAGAACTCTTTTCATTCATTTCTCTGTATGAAACAAATAACTGTGGCTGCTCATAGATTAATTTTCACTTTATGTAGATTATGAAGCACTTATGGGCACATATGAAAAAACTAGGAAAAACAACAAAAGACTAGGAAAAAGACACAGCAGACACCAACTTCAATGCATGCTGTAGCCATGCAATAACAAATTCACAGAATTCTAAGTCAGTAAAAGAGTAATATCTGCATGCACTCTCCTGTATTCCTAACAGATGAGCAAAAGTTTGATGGAAAGAGGATAATTAAAAAACAACTATTAAGAGCTCAGATATTTTATTGCTAATCTTTCATTAGGTTTTAGGTCAAGAAAGGCCTGGACATTAATAAGCACTGTAACACACTGACATTTTACTTCAGTGAAAGAAAATCATGTCTTTATTGACACTGCTGTAAGATACTTTGTTCCTCATACATAGCTAAACTGAGTATCACGGAGACAAACAGCTCAACACATTATCAAAGGAACTCAAACATTTTGTTACAGTAGTAAATGTACACACTACACTGTCTCCTCAGTACAGGAGAGATGAAAACCTATTAGAGCACCAAAAAATGAGCCAAGAGATGAAACTCCTCTTTTATGAGGACAGACTGAGAGAGCTGGGATTGGTCAGCCTAGAGAAGAGAAGGCTCTAAGGGGAGCTGTAATAAAGAAAAGGACAGACTCTGTAGCAGGATTTGCTGTGACAGGACTAGGGGAAAGTGTTTCAAACTAAAGGAGGGGAGATTTAGACTGGATATAAGAAAGATGTTTCTTATAATAAGGGTGGTGAGGGATTGGCACTGGTTGCCCAGAGAGGTGGTGGATGCCCCATCTCTGGAGACACTCAAAGTCAGGCTATGCAGGACCTCTAAGCAACCTGATCTAGCTGCAGATATCCATGTTCATTGCAAGGAAGTTGGACAAGATGACCTTGAAAGGTGCCTTTTAACTGAAATGAGTCTATGATTCTGTTTCTACAATGAATTTTTACTATGTGAATATACTAAATCAAGTCTGTTCTCACTGTACAGGTCAACAACTCCATGTAAGTTGTATCTTGACTACAGACGTAGGGGACTTTGTATATGTTAAAAATTTATGCTCAAAAAAAAGTACAGACATTCTGGAGGGTGACAGGAGAAACCACAGAGTATATTTGAGGTAATTAATCTTCAGAACTATCATTTTTCAGTCAGTGCTATTTATCATCAGGCTAAGCATGCTGCATGTGAACAATGCAGATACAATGTTTATACTTTTATCAGTAATTAGTAGCAAGTCAGGCATGGAAATGGATTATAAAAATCCTCTAAACAATCCTGCAAGAAATAGAAGATACTCAGAGGTCACAAAATGACAAATCATTACTGAATTATCCTTTCACACACAAAATTATTTTTTCACAAATAACACTGTTCAGTTTCCACAACCAGTCATACAAAGATAATTTTTAAAAGCTTCAATTAAATTGTAAGAATGCACAACGAACATGCTACTGGCACGAAGTTCTCCCTAGTTATTTTCAGTGTACCTATAAGATGGACTGAGCCAAGTTTAGGAAGTAAACAACTAAAATTGGATTTGAAGACAACATTGCAGAAAAAGGTCAAGTGTAATTACTTGCCTTCTTTCTTCTCCTCCTCTTCTTCTTCTCTTTGGCTGCTTGTGCCTGTTTATGTTCCCATACCAGATTAGTCAAGTTAGCAACATACTCATCTGTCTGCTGCAATAGGTAGGCCAGGCGTCTATCTTTCTTTTGGTCAATCAGCTTACGGTAGCCTTCTTCATCTTCAGCCTAGGAATATGAAACACACATTACCCAATTGATAATACCTATCTTAAAAATCATGTGCTATTTTGGTTACATCATGATTTGCGTAGGTGGACAGAGAGTCCACCAGAAAGTAGGCCCAGAGAGTCATACCATACCTGGAGGACAATTGTCTACCTAAGGCACATGTTTCAAACTTCTACCAATGACCCAGACTAAAAGATGAAGGGGACCCTAGTTAAGTTTGCATGTGACATAGAACTAAGGACATTAGTCAATAACTTCAAGGGTTGCGCTGCCTTTCAGAAGGACCTGAACAGGCAAAACAATGGGACAAGAGGAACCTGATGAAGTTCAAACAACACGGACAGGCAAGCAGCTGCACAATAAAGGATATACACATCCATTTATACAAACATTGATTTGGCAATGTGGTGCAACAGCAGAGGTCTACAGAATTCTGGACTATATTAGCAGGAATCTTGCCCAAACTCACAGCACGTGATAATCCCCACCTGCTTCTGCTTTTCAGACGACATGCAGACAACGCTTGAAATTTCCCAACCTCAGCATGGAAGATAGTGATTGAATTTGAAACAGTGGTGGCTGATGCTGGATTTTAAAAGGCACTTTTTTCTCCAGAAACGTTGTACAACAGAGGCCCAGAGAAGTTGTACCATTTCTAAGTATTAGAAGTTTACAAGACATGACTGAAAAAAGACTTGGGCAACCCAGTTTGACTTTGATGCTAAATCTATTTTGGGAAGGAGGCTGGACTAGAAACATCCTAAGTTCCTGGCCAGCCTGAGTCACTCTGGGATCCAGGAATTATATGACTCTAGACATATCCAATTATCACATAGTAATTATTGAAAAATCTACAACAGTTCTAAAAATGAAAAGAAATTAAAATTAAAAAAAAAAAATACACACTGCTGACTCACATTCAACTCATTCAACTTGCTGTCAATCAGAATCACTGGACATTTTTCTGTGATCTGTTCTCCAGCCTCTCATCACCCATTCTGGACATACATTCAGAACCGTCCTGTTCCAGATGCAGAATCCAGAACTTGCTTTACTTTATGCAGTTGATGACTGCCCAGCCCTCCCATTTGTCAAGCTCTCTCCACAAGGCCTCACTACTCTTGGAGGAGTCAACAGGTTTCCCTAATTGAGTATCATCTGCAAATGCACTTAACATTCAAGTCCTGAATCCCGATCAGGATTGGAAAGAAAAAAAAAAAAAAAAGCATTGAAGATAGCAGGACCTCAAATGTAGCCCCATGGAACCTCACTAGCAACTGTCCTGAAGCAACTTGGCAAGTCTCCTACAACTGTCTTTTCAAAGACAGGAATTGCATTTACCTCATGCCTACAGAAAGAGATAGGAATCAGCGGCTGAACTTCCATTTAGTTCTTTTTAGAGTACTGCAACATACCACAATGGGACTGAAACTGAACAGGCAAAGCAACCCAATTAACAGAACACAATTTGCTACAGGAGAACTTAACTGAGCAGTCAGGCAAATACTTGCGAGGGCAAATCCCTAAACTGAAAGTACTTATGAAGTCCTATAACTAAGTTAAATGATCAACCACAGTCTTTGGCAAAGCAGCTTTATGAGAAATAACTGGTGTTTGGAAGCACTGGCATCCTGTGTCATTTGCAGACATGTGATCCTACTTCATTTTTCTCGTAGTGGAGATCTTTTTTCTTTACCGTATTGTACATTAGACTGATTTAAGCCTAGCCTCAATGATACACTGAGGAATTTTTAAAGCATTACAATGCTATTTTTCAATTAGTTCTTTTTTTCCTTTACAAATCAATATTTTAATAGCTGAGTACACAGACTTCTGACAACTATCTCTAATTATAAAAGTGCTCTACAGTGCAGGTTAGTATATAAACTTTAGAAATACCCTACAGTCTAAACAATTCTTCTTCTCTTAAGAGAGTCCTTCTTTGCATTTTGCACGTTTTCATTTTTAAGTTTTTAATATTTTTGTATTTAATAGTTTCTACATACCGTTTTGTGATTTTTAAAAGTAAACTGTACAGTCCTTAACTCATGGCGGAAATAGATTTCGGATAAGAAATACATGAAATTATGTTTCCATCTGCACCCACTTTAGATACCTACTGTTTTTTTTCACTAGCATCATTTCAAAAACATGTCAATTCCTATTCAGTTCTGCTGGTGAAGTGCTAACAGTGTTAGAACAGAGCTAACAAATGTCTCCAAGAAATCTTTCCAGTCCTAGTTTCTAATATGCTTGCACACACGAACATTAATATGTCTACACTTTACAATCCAGAATTATTTTAACCCCAGAAATGTTGACAGCCCACTCAACAGTTCCACAGCATTCTGGCAATACAACTGCACACAAAATCATTCTACGGTATCTTAAAAAAGGATACTGATAGTATGTGTAGGTAAGAGAAGAAAAAATCATGAAAGAACACAAAGGGGTCCTGGAGCACTAACGGGTAGAGCTTACTGTCACTCATTCTCAAGCTACATGCATTATTTACTACTATGGGTTATGTATTTTTGCATGTGAAATCAGTTTTATATAAAAGTTGGTCGGCAATACCACAAACAAATTAATCATGTGGAATCTTCAAAACTATAAAACCAGAAATCAACTTCAACATTTATATAGAGGACCAATAACCATGCAATTCTGCAAAATGCTAGTTCATTACGTTAATGAGATTAAGCGATGCAGTGGCTGTGCTAAGTTTTCAAGCTGGTAGACAGAAGACAAAAAAAAAAAATCTGCTAAAAACTGAAATGAACAGTGTCACACTGATTACCATACTTAAAAACACACAATCAAAGTATATCAGTTTCAGATTTATACTTATTAAGTCACAGAGGTTTTAGTCTGCAAAGAAAAGATCTGGGTATCTGAGACTGTCTATGAGATATGAAAAGGATACATATTAAAAACAAGTGATTTTCACTAAAATAATCATACCCGTCCTTCCAATCCTTACCATTAGCCTCCTCATTCTTTCTTTCTCAATTCTCTCAGTTTCTTTCTTCTGTTCACGTTCAGTGTTGGCATGCCAAGTTGCCACAGCTTTAGAAAGTTTCTGAATTTTGCCAGCCACTGACCGATGGTACTCCTTGAAGTCTTTAGCATGTTGCAATATGCTATTCAGGTATTCCTAGAAGGAGAAACAAGTAAGCGTAGGACCTGGACAAAGTACAGGATTTGAAATCAAGAACATAGGAGGTCTAACCTCACCATTTTCCAATTATTTAGTACATGATTTTGAGGTGCTTTGTTCTGTTTTTTGTTTCTTAAAAACTCCAAAGGTGAATAAAGTAAGTAACAGGTAAGACCAACAGAATAAAGAAAGGTAAATTTCTGTGACTGGGGAAACAGCCTGTAAGTCAAAATACCTGATGCTTCTGTCTACGCTTCCTCTCCTGTTCTATCTTCTGCTGTTTCTCAAGCTTTTCTGTCATACGGGCCTCCCTCAAAGTCTGGCGCTTGCTTCGTTTGTAGGCTTTGGAGTTCAGTGCTGTCTCCAGCGTTGTATCACGACGCATGCAGGCTACTACCTCTTGTCTCAACTACCAGTGAGAAAAAAAGAAACACATTAAAAAAAAAAAAAAAAAATAGGTTTAATACATGAAAAAAGAACAGGGGACCTCCCAGCCTCCTCCTTCTTTTATATTATAGTTCTAAAGACATCCAGCATTAGTCAGCTGCAATAGATATGTTTGTCTCTATAAAACTCATAACCCCCCAAAGGATGACAAAAGAGTTCATCATACATCATTTCTTCTTAACAAGATACCACAAATCATTGTTCTGTTTCAAGATAAGAGCTAGCCAAGGTTCATAAAACACAAATGTAAAACACATATAACATGCTTTTCAGAGTGTTGATGACTACAACGGGGACAGAAGAAAGAGGGAAATGCCGAAGGCTTGGAACAGTACAGCCACAGTCACAGCACTGCAGCAAAGAGAGCCTGCTGCTTTTAATATGTCCTCTGACAAAACTTCATTACAAAGGAGTGCCAGGACAGCAGCAAGGAAGACTCAGACATCAGAGGACAACTACTGTCAAAGACTTCTGCCAGGAAGTATTTTTTCCAAACTTGTCAAATTACACGCCTACTTCTGAAAACTAGTTGAAAAAAAAAATAATGACAAGAAGTCCATGAGAGCCTACCACAGTTTATCCCTTTCTGAAATTCATTTGCTTATGCATGCACTTAAGATCAAACTTCTCTCTTAGGTATGAAAATTAAATCAGTAAGACCAAAGCTTATGTGCGACAGTAGAACTCTCAGAACAGATCACAGTGAAAAACCACACACCACCATCACCATACAATTCTTCCCAAAACGAAGGAACTCACGACAAGCACAAAGAAATGTCCAGAAATAGTAATCTGCTGGGATTTGTGTTGGAAATGTGTTTGCAACTTCTTCTCACCATTTCCTCTTTGTGCCACCATATGCCTCTTTATGAAAGGTACATTTCTTTGGTTACATTTTAAAATGTAAGAAAAAGCAGGAGAGAGAAAGGATACTTGCACATTTATAATAAGAAAACAAAGTCTAAGTTAAACATTTCTACTACATGCTCATAATTCAAGTTTGTTCTCACACAAAATCCCATTTTCAGGCTTAGTACTGTTACAGATTCTCTCGCCAGTTCATCCTGTACTACATGAACATGTCTGGTTATAATCTCACACAATTTTCATTAAGAAAAAGGCATTACCTGGCGCTGGAAATTCAGTAACCTAAGCGCCTTCAACTCCACCGTCGCTTTGGTTCGCAGATCAGGGGGCAGAGAACCTGGCAAATTTTCCAGTTCCTGGATTCTGTGAGCAATTCGTGCTTGAAGCCTAAGTAAACAGAAAATTGCATAAGTCGCCCAGAGAAATCTGTATCGTAATACATACAAACCAATACAGTAAAAATAAGCAATTTATCTCAGATAGTTATTTGGCTTCTAGTACTTGCTTCTGAACCATGAGGATTTTGCAAAAATGGAAGTGACATTTGATAAACTTAACTGCTTTGAGTTACCACACACTGGATTTAATCCTAGGCCCTTCTTTAAATTTTGACTAAGAGGGTAGGTGTGGAAAGCAACCTAGAAAATGCTTCTTACCTGTATCAGATACAATTGTTTTCAGGTTTCTTTGATGGGTACAGTTTCGTGTACTCTCCCCTTACAATTTTCTTTTGCATTCATTTGCAAATTCAAAAGGGAGAACAATGGACCAGAAGTCAGAATGACCTTGTTTTACTGTATTTTTCACACTGACAAGCGAGATCAGGAAGCCAATAGTTACATGGTTCTTGTGAGTTTTACCTACAAGTAAGTATCCTTGTGAACTACAAATTTTGCCAGGCACTAAAATAGCAGACCCAAAAATTCTAAGTCAACCAAAAGTTGCATGTGGATGCAATTATGGATCATAACTTCTCAAACAGCTGCAATGTTTCTGAAATGTTCACCTACAGGACAATTACAGCCCAATTCTGGTTTCACTGACTTCAATGAAATTTGGTCAGTAAAGAAGACACAATCTTTCCAAAATCCTCTTCTTAGCTGTGGATGAAGTAAAACAACTGAATACTGAACACATTTTCAGTTTAATATTTTCATTATTTTTTGTTGGCATTGGGTGTTCCTTCTTGCTCAATAAACAAGGACAAGCACAAAAATTAATCAGGCTGCTCCCTATCATTGTTTAAGTTTAGGTAACTAAATGGATTAACCATTTTTGCAAACAAATATGAAGTGGAATGTTCACTTACTAATTCTTTAAGAATTGTTTTGTTAGGCTACCACTGGAAATAAAATAGTTTAAAGTACCTCCAAAAGTTTGCAGAGTATAAAGTAAAGCAAAAGCAAAAGCTGGCTGGAGTTTGTATTTCTATCATATAAATCGATCCTAAAAAATCCAAATGTACAACTTTCTTGAGATGTGACAAAATATAATGCAAGTTTACAGTGAGCTGTTGTGTCCTGTTATCACTCTAAGCAATCCACCTTGTACAAAAGACTTCACACTGCTAGCCATTTTCTTTCTCATTCACAAGGCTGCTTACTAATTCCAAGTTCATCTTCAAATTTCTCCAGATTACATGAAAAAGAGAGGTTTACACTAAGCTACACATAACTACACTTACTCTCTTCCATGTGTAATTACTGTTCTTTCACAATCCAGCCACAGAGAAAAAACAGGGAAAAAAAAAAACCAAAAAACAGCATTTTTAGCCACTACTCACATTTACTCACTAACACACTCACTAATTCACACAAAACCTGCTCTGTTCTTGAAATAAAGTCCTGGTCAAAAAAAACAGTACATATTAATGAAAATCTAGACCACATACAAGGAAGAGTAATGAAAAATGGGAGCCAGATGGGTTACATATTAAATAAAAAAAAAGGCATTTACTTGTCGATTTTATTTCACATTCTCTCAGAAGCATTAACCATATCATCTTGGGTACTAACAAGAATAGCATTTTCCTGAATAAGTTGGAAGGATTTTAGAAAGAATTTCATGGTAGCCACCTCACCTCAAGCAAATGTCCTAACTACTTGAACCATTTCAAAATTACAGCCACATTCAAGTCTTTAAAGAGAATGACTGCATTTTCTCGGACTGTTCCTGTCTGTATTGAAAAATACTAATGACTATAAAGTCAGTGGAACCCAAGGAAAGAAGTTTTCCACATGACTTTTACTAGTGTAATCTCATCTTACTTAAATGATACATTTAATTATTCTTTGCAACTCAGCTATCTATCTTCACTGATGCAGAAAGCAGTTTACACATCTACAAGGAGACCCCTTTGCAATTAAACGATGTACACATATTCCTCATTAACCAAGGTCAACTACAGAGGTTATGTTTGTGCATTCTAGCCTCTCTTGCAGATGACATACAAAACAGGGACTTTGCAGGTAACAGAAAGCAGCTAGTGACAGTCTACAGGACACCGGTTTTTTTTCTTTTAATTAGCACTGAGAATGTGGAAAAAAGCCTTTCCACATAACAGAGTAACTCTAGAATACACTGGTTAGTAATATTAAAAAATATACTCACTAAAACGGAAAAGCAGTACTTATTTTAAAGAGAGGGCAAAGAATTTTATAAGAGCACAACATGAACTTATCACTTCAGCAGGATTTCAAAGACCACAAGTTTAACAGTTCTGCACATCCCAATACTTTAAAGTTCCTGCATTAATCAGAATTTTAAATATCTGGGTTCCTCTTCATCCACCATTAGTCATACAGAGATTAACAACAGTTATCAAGTAATACCAATTTAACACATACCACAAACAGCTTTCTGGCCCAGTCACATGAATTTAACAATATTAACTCCCACTTTCCTTCCCTTCATTAATTTATGCCAGAACCCTTTTTTTAATAATTAAGATCAAGGACCTTCAGGGAGAAGAAGTAGTATGCTGATGTTACACCAGTCTTAAAGCCTTTTCAACCCATCAATATGTTACTGGGTCCATAACCACTTCTCTATCAGTGTGAGTCGATTTAACATGTGGTTAATGGATAGGATTTCTATATCTTATTTTCAAGTGCTTACTTGATGAATTTGTCAAACTACATGATTTCCCACTAGTGAGGAAGGGAAAAAAAAATCTCTGTCACTGAAATAAACTATCAGATGTAATTTCTTCAGTGTATTTCAGTGTATTTCACATTTACAATATTATATTGTGTGCAAGTAAGACACACTCTAATACATGAACCATATAAATGATCCATAAAAACATGGAAATGTGTATACAGTAGTTTATATCCTCTCCCAAAAGTCAGCTGTTAACCAAGTAAGAAGTATGTGCCCTGAAAACAATGGTCAAACACCATAGTAATTAACTTTTATCATGACCCTGACGAATTAGCAGTAAATTAATGTGAAACTGTGTTCCCATACGATCCAGGTCACAGAGTAAATACAGTAGTTGTAAAGAATTCCAGTTCTGGTCAGATTCAAAGCTCAGCCTTCCGCAACAAATCAGAATACCTTTTTGGTCTGTCTTTCAAAATACAGATCACTAAAACATCTATGTTGTAATTCTGTTTGTTCATTAAAAACTCATTTCATTTTCTAGGTACTGAAGAGCATAAAGCTTTATCAGAAAAGTTAACTACTGAGAGAACTTAAGAGGCAAAAGTTTCATAAAACCGTCACTAACTTCAAAGGTTATCAGGATACAGGCTTTGTACTGTAAAGTGTGAATAGTTCATGTTTCTGCATTGAACTTCCCTATGAATGAAAAAAATTCCAGAAGTTACAAGTACTCCGGTATGCAAAGAAAATTAACTTCTAGGAACACTCAAGATTAAAAAAGCTTGGGTCACTATCTAAAAATTACTGTAAAGAGTAAAAATGAAACTGTACTTTTACAGAATTCCTATCAAACTTCCACCTCACTTCCACCGTCACAAAGATTCAGATATTTAGAACCTAATGAATATGCTGTATCTATAGTCAGTTCTAAATATTGAATATAACACTTATTTTCTGCCAATTCCTATTTCTTCTGCTCATGCATACTAAGTCATAATAGTTTGGCATACACAGTGCAACAGAACAGGGCTAGAAAGACTAAAAAATCTGAGATAACTTATGCAAAAATGGTTGCACTGTATTGATTACATGATTCTTGGATCAGGTTAGTGCTACAGTCATTCTCTTAGAGCAACTGTGGAACTGCATAATTCTGTGTTTTACTTACAGGAAAACATTTTAGAAAACAGCAATAAAACATTGAAATAGCAGTGGCCTAAGGTTAAAAAAAAAAAAAAAAAAGAACTACTACAATGATATGACATAAAATTAGTTAAGTATTATTTTATGTAGAAATTGAAAGCTTTTCTGTGATCAAAGCCTGTATTCTGAGCATAGTACCACATACCAAACAACTTCATGGTGCTTTACCTTCACAAAGTGAAAGCCATTAAACCTGTCTTCAGCACGATCATCATTCTTTTTGGCTACCTTTCTGTTAGAAACTCATTATTACAGTAATTGGAAAATGTTCTATCAGTTCAAACCAAGTAAACATGCTGTGTGGTCTCTTATCACCAATGGATAATGATTAGAAACAGTTCAGGTGCAGGTCTAGACCCTTCTTGCCCTGCGGATTCTCCAGGCTAACTATTGATGTCTTAAGGGTCTTGATGACAGGCAAAAAGCTAGAGAAGTCTTTATCTAATTCTGAAAGAAATGTTATCCTCTATAATTTATATGAATATAAATCATCAACGAATTGAGGCACACGGGAGGCAACTTCTAAGACCATGGTTTCCTGGTAACCTCTTCTTTAATCTTGCTTATGATCTCCTTACTCTTTGGAGTTCAGCCAAGTTCATGATCACACTAGTAAAATTTTCTCTAGCCACTAACTTTTATTAGCCTTTTGACTTCCATTATTCCCTTTATAACTCGTTTGTAATTTTGAAAACTTCCCACACTAAATTTGTTTCTCTGTAGATTACGACGATTTAGATTTCCTAACTTTTGTCTTTTGAAGCGTCCATTAATACAGTAGCCAAGCAGAGTTCCTGAGCCTGCTTTAAACTTAGTTGGTTTGCAGTGATACTAACACACTTTCCTACTTTCTAACCTGAGATGGAATTAGATTATCTTTTAGTGTGATGTTTCTACATTTCTTTGACATGGTTCCTCTCTGGAAACTGTATTTACTTGATTGTCACTACTACCTTGGATTGCAAGGACTCCCTGTCCAGAAAGTGAAAAATAACCTGCATGTATACTTGAATCATGTTATTCACTTTTACCTATATTCCCGTTCTTGAAGAATTTCAACAGGGTCTAATCCTTGTGGCTTTTGAATAGGGCTGATGCGATTCTGCTTTTGCTGCAGCTGAACAATGGGGGAAGGCTGTCCAGGTGGTGGTTGTGGTACAGAAGGCCCAGGCATAGCAGCAGCAGGCTGGGCAGCAGTAGGGGCAGGAGAAGGCCTCCCACTCAGAGATGGTGCAGGAAGTTTCTGCGGTGCACTGGAGACACTCATATCTGGAGTTTGGCCTGAATCATAAAAAAAATACTTATTCCTAACATGAAATATGGAACACAGGAAGAAATTAATGACAATTTTTGCAGAAGAATGTGAGTTCAGAAAAACATTCAAAATTACCAGACAAACACACACTTATATACACTTCATTCTGTATTTAAAAAAAGATCTACTGTTACAGTTCTCTGTCCTCAGATTTACCCACGAGCAACAGCAATGTATAAGATTCCTGCTGAGTGAGGAACAAATTATTTTGGTCTCTAATACTATATCCACCTTTAAATTTCTCTTATTTAAATTCAATACAAATTCAAAATATATTTTTAGTAATTTCTAATGAATTTCAATACAGTCCTCCTTCTACTTTCAAACCATAAATGAGCCTGTAAATCCAAATCTAAATATTTTTATTCCAAAAATTATTCTCACACTAAAATGTGAAAAAAAATGTTACAATGTTCTTTAGATCTCAAAGATCACACTGTTCTTTCAAAGGAATTAAAAAAAATAAAAAGCCTCATTCTGGTATGTATGAGTTTGAAATTTGAAAACTTGAGTTTACAGCAACAAAGAATACAGTTGAAAGACAAGCCTCCTGCAATTAAGCATGCTGAGAATACCACTTAAGTATATATTTTATGGGTATCCCTCAAGCAGCTTCTGTATTTCACTTCGATTTTAAAAAGGTGCTTGATGTTCAGGCCATCTAACTGCAATAACTTCATCTGGCCAGGTCATTCATAGGTGAATAAATGGTTGATTCTCCTTGATATTTAAGTCCTAGGTACAGTAAAGATTATGCTATTTTGCCTGTATTACTTTTAACTTTCCCTTTTTTTTTTCCCCTCTATCTTTTTCTTGGTCTCTACCTACTCTGTTTCACCTTAACTCTGTGCATGAAATAATATGAGATTTATGCTCCCCTGTACCTTCATTCCATGTTTTAGGAGTAATGGAAGCTGTATGTCCAGGTATTCCTGCAGCAGGCCCTGGTCCAGCTGCAGCACCACTCATTGCATGCATCCCAATACCTAACAATTTGACAGAGGAAAGAATCATATTAAGAAACAAGCATTCAATAACTATTCTGTTCTCTAGCATGCTAGCCTTTTCAGGCAAGTAGTATTTCTGTGCATTATATAAGGTTTTATGAAAATTTTACTGTGAAAGAAAATATATAACAAAGCTTGGTAAAATCGTGTATCCTAAAAAACAAAACCAAAAAAAGCTCTACTTGTTAGCAAAGTGATACACACCAAAATGAACTACTTAAAATCATTACTAACAAAAAAAAAACAGCTTAGCACTCAATTTCTAACACTCACTCAATAATGGAAGTGTTCAGAAGATGTAAGAGGTATAGGGTGTTAACAAAGTTTTCTTAAGACCAAAGTGTGCTTTGCTTACTGCACTGTAAGATTTATTATCATCGGAAGAGAAAGACTAATAAAGAGAATTTTACTTTCCTTTTACGCACTCAACAGTTCGTTTTACTTTCACCTGCTCCAAATTTTCTGTTTTTACCGCATAATAACAGGAAACTGGAAATTACTCTAAGAAGAGTAAAATTGTGATCAATAAACTATGATTAACACTCAAAAACGTCAGGTATAATTGAGGTGGACACTTCTATGTCTGTGTACAATATTCTATTAATAATAGGCAGGTTCTATGCACTTCCTCAATAATAAAAGTTCAGAATGCTGACCCAAATTATAATCATGAACACCATGCTTCTGTAACATTCCACAGGTAGAACTTCAAGAATTACTTGTGCAATGACACAAAGCCTAGCTGCATTTACCAGACTGTCTGTTGAAGGCACTGGGAGGCTGCTGTTGTTGAATGCCAGGAAGGGTCCGCTTTCCCTGAACAGCAAGCTGGAGGTTTTCTGGCAAAGGCTGACCTCTAGCTAACATTTTGTATGCTAGAATCTGAGCCCGAAGTTGGTGCAGCTGTACAGGGCTGAAAGGGGAGGGACCTCTGTTGGGTTGACTCATAACTTGCGGGTCCCCAGGTATAATAGGTCCTGGCTGGCTGGGAGTCATCTGGGGTGGAGTTGGACCTCCTCCGGACATCGGACTGGATACATGCTCTGGTGCTCCTAGCGGAGACGGGTGTGGAGACATATAACCTAAAACAGATGAGATGATCACAAGTTTAGCACCCCAGCTAGTCACACCTGCATTCCATCACATTTCTTTGGCAGTACACAAGGTATAAAAACAGCTTTCTCAAGTCAGGATGGTTGTAATATTTTCTGCAAGAACAAGGTGCCACCTGAAATTAGCTACATGAGCTGTTGTTTGAGCCGTTACGGTTCTGTGATTCAAATGCTCCTAAAAAGAACAATTTTCCTCATACTTGGAGCATGACAAACTTTAACATGAAATACACAAAGAGGCATCAGAATGGCAGACTAGTTCTAGACTAGACTTAGAAGAGACATAATCCTGTTGGAGTGCATCCAGATAAGGGCCACAGAAATGAACCAAGGGATCCAGACCTCTCCTGTGAGGACAGGCTGAGACTGCTGGGGCAGTCCAGCCTGGACAAGAAAAGGCTCCAATGAACCTGAGAACAGCTTTTCAGTATCTAAAGAGGGGTTACAGGAAAGAAGGGGACAGACTCTTCAGCATGGTCTGTTGCAACATAACAAGGGGAAATTACTTCAAACTTAAAGAGAGTAGATATAGGCTGGATATAAGGAAAAAATATTCTATAGTGAAGGTGGCAAGGCATTGGAACAGGTTGCACAGAGAGGTGATGGGTGGCCAGTTGAGGGCTCTGAGCAACTTGATTTAGCTGTGAACATCCCTGTCTGTTGCAAGCAAATTAGACTAGATGACCTTTTGGTATTCCTTCCAACTCTAAGGATTCTGTGATTCTAGTTCACTGTATATTTTGCAGCTTGATGTTTTAAGGTTTGTGTTGTTTTTTTTTTTTTAATGCATATGCATCAAAGAACACCTATTCACTGACACAGACTCTCCTTGCAAAACTCTCCAAACACAAAAATAGGAAGTATTTAGTTTATATATGACTGCTTCTTAATTGACAAAGACTAAACCTTTGTATAAGACAAAGAACATTGAATGTCTCTTTCTATGGATGCCTATCATGGAACTGGAACCTCAACTGCCAACATAAAACATCCCTTAAGAAGAAGCTGCTGAAATGGCAGGACTCAAATGAAGCTCCAAGAGAACAAGCAAAATCCTGAATCAAATGGCACTTGAACCTTATTTTTTATCACTTCAAATGATGAAATGTTTAAAAGAAATCTTGACTTTCACTAAAAATTAGGACAAATTATTAAAGTATCAAAGGATCATACATGTAAAATCTTTCTGTCAAACAGAATAAGAAGTTTACATGCTTACAAAAGAAGGTAAGAGAATTTTATTTAAGATACAGAAAAAATTATAGAAATTTAGTTCAGTATGGTATTTACCTTAATGGTCATTTCAGCCATCAATTAATTTTATTTTTTTAAATGCAAGAATCAAGTATAAGCTCAATAAATAACAAGAATGCATAATATTTTAGAACATACAGTGATTGTGCCAGACCAAGGCTACCATTTTTACTTTTTTTTATGATGAGAAATGAATAAGGCTTTCCTGCTGATAGAGTGGTCAGTTCTTGTGAAACTCTCAACCAAGAAAAAGACAAAGAACATCTACTCACTGACACAGACCTTCCTTTCAAAACTCACCAAATTCAAAAATAGGAAGTTGGGTGCAAAAATCATTTAAAACCAGGGCTGGAGAAATAAACTGTTTTGAGGTCATACGCTGGCAGGCAGATGGTAAGATGACCCAACACATCTTCTTTCATCTTTAAAACTTATCGGAAAGCAAAATGCAGTTAATTTAAGAACAGTAGGGACAATGAACATGATTTGTGAAATTATAAAATCTTGATGAATTCTGTAAACTATCTTAATACAAACTTCAACAAATACCAATCAGTGATTAAAAGTATACATAGGTTAGGTCCCAGAACCTTGAATGCCTGCAGTTCTTACGCTTGCACCTACTAATAGCAATTTAAACCACCTGAGCTATTCAAAATTGCTCTGTGTGCCACTCCCATGTTAGACTAACTGCATTTTACTTTTACTCTCAATACCAGGAAAACACAGGAAATTATCATAGAAACCTAGAATGGCCTGGGTTAAAAATAACCAGTGATTATCTAGTTTCAATCCCCCTGCTATGTGCAGGGTCGCCAACCAGGTTGCTAGACCAGGCTGCCCTGAGCCACATCCACCTGGTCTTGAATGCCTCCAGGGATGAGGCATCCACAACCTCACTGGGCAATTTGTTCCAGTGTGTCACCACCCTCTGAGTGAAAAACTTCCTCCTAATATCTAATCTAAACCTCCCCTGTCTCAGTTTGAAACCATTCCTCCTTCTCCTATCTCTATCCACTGCTGTAAACAGTCATTCCCCTTTCTGTTTATATGCTCCCCTCATGCACTGGAAAGCCACAACAAGGTCTCCCCAGAGCCTTTTCTGCATCAAGCTAAACAAGCCCAGTTCCCTCAACCTTTCCTCACAGAAGAGGTACTCCCAGCCCTCTGATCATCTTAGTGGCCCTCCTCTGAACCCATTCCAACAGCTCTGTGTCTTTCTGGTGCCAGAGGCCCCAGGCCTGGACGCAGTACTCCAGATGTGGCCTCACAGGAGCCAGGGGACAATCACCTCCCTCTCCCTGCTGGCCACCCCTTTTTAATGCAGCCCAGATACAGTTGGCCTTCCAGGCTGCAGGCGCACAATGCTGGCTCATGTCCGGCTTCCTGTCCACCAGGACCCCCAAGTCCTTCTCCACAGGGCTGCTCTCAGGGAGATCTTCCCCCAGTTTGTATAAACACCTGGGATTGCCCCAGCCCAAGTGCAGCATCCTGCACTTGGCTTTATTGAGAGTCACTGTATCTCCAGTTTTGGTCCACTTTATATAGCCTCCATCACACAAACACCAGGCTTCTTTTTGCAGATTCTTCTCATTCCTCTTACAAAATAAATCTAAACATACATTTAATTTTCTGGGTAAGTTTGTTTACCATTTTAACAATTTAAAGTAAATTTTAAAACAAATTAAAGTAAATACTTCCAGTATCAATATAGACACTTCCAGCAGTGTTCATTCACATAAGCTGAAAACATTAACAGCCCAAATTCAGTTAAATGCTGTAAGATTATTATTTAAACAGCCAACTATGAAGTCAGAGCAATGGACTTCCCTTCCTATTTAATCTATTAGCATTAAAATAAGGGTTTTAAGACTAAAACAAGGACATCATTGTGCTTGACTTCAAGAAAAGAAAACTGGACGCTGGAAATAGTCAGGAATGCTACCCTTTCTAAAATTTGGCACTGGAAAGCAGTAACTGTTGAGGAGACAGATACCAGCAGTAACTGTTGAGGAGATATACAGGTCGCCTACAAATTGGTGCCCAACATTTGTAAGCAATGGTGTTGTAGTATGCAACAAAAATGTAACAAACTGTCTCAACCTGCAAGATTATTTCTGCATGACCAGCTTACCACTGAACATCAAGAAAGTAAAAAATCCAGAATCTAAATAATAAGGGTGCGTGTTTTAGTAATTATAATTAGTTTAAAAAGTAAATAAATAAATTCAAAAATCTCAGACTAGTGACTCTCACGGCAACAGAAAATAGGTGTTTATGAGCAAAATGACACATTTAATTTAGAAATGTTTTTGACTTACTCATCAAGGTAAACCTCATCACCTCAAAAAGGATCCACTTTTTGTTTCTTCACAGACTGTAATAATCATTACCTTGAAAATTCTGTCCTGAGTTGCTCTAAGTTCATGGTCCTCATTTCAAGATTGTTCATTTGCAGCACATGTTCAGATTACACAGATCATATATATGTACAACCATGTGTGCAGTTCAATTTATTTCTAATTTATAATCCATATTTACATGCACATTTTCTAGATCCTCAAAATCATGGGTGTACATTTTCCAGTGAAATGCAGATTTCAACATTTTATGTATTTATTTATGCATTTTGTGTTGTTGGTCGTTTTTTTGTTTGTTTTTTTTTTTTTTTTTAAAGTGCATGCATGCTTTTGAAAGTTCTTTTTTTAAAAAAAGGTTTTAATTGGAACACTTTAGTTTAGATTAAATCCGATTTTGTGATCACTTCTAACCATACACCACATACAGAAGGACTGTCCATGCATTTATCACAAATTCACAATCCACTTTCCTATTCACCAAGAAGTAAAACCATTGTTTCCTTCTCTAGCTTCACAGCTCTCCTCAGAATCTTGGACTACTTTAAATATTTCTCAACATTGTTGTTAACTGCAGGTATTATAATGTAACGTGATAGAACATTTCATCCAATTTATTCTTGCTCCTGGGTGCATGCACTACATTCCATTTCATAGTTTCAAGCACTGTATACAGGAACACGCATCAAATTCTGCCAGAGCAACCAGAACATTTTTCAGCATCGTTGCTTCCTATGACATAATTCTACACCTCATACACAAAAGACAGCTATCAGCACTGATTTTGTACTTATTTCCAGATCACTGACAAATACAAGTGTTCCAAAAGTTATGCCTCCTATTTTATTATGTTGGCCCACAATGCCAGAGGTGGATGTTGATGGTACCAGCAGAAGAGATAGTCTTCTCACCAATATTCCATTACATGTTGCTGCCATGCAACAGGTGGCAGCAGAAGGGCAGTATGACATAATAGCATCTGACATGGAAGTACAGATAAAGCAAAAGTATGTCACTGAATTCCTCCATGCAGGAAAAAAAAAAAAAAAACAAAAGGTACCCACTGACATTCATAGACACTTGCTGAACACTTATGGAGAAACAGTGAGTGTGAGTGAGGCAGTGGGTCATATGTTTAAGCTGTGGCAAAAGGGATGTGGAAGACAAGCCACATTTCAAATGGCCACACACAAATGTCACATCACAAAATGAAAAGCATCTGGATCAACCCATCCATTTAAATCTGGAGATTACAAACAGGACTGTGTACAGAGGTGAATATTGGCTTCAATGCACGGTAAATAACGATGGCAACATTGGAATATCACAAAGTTTGCACTAGGCCAACAAATGCTCAGGCAGAAAAAGAATGAACACTGTAAGTTTGTCAGGATCTGCAGAACCAATATGAATCTGAAGGTGACAGTTTCCTGGATCACATTACTACCAGTGATGAGATGTGGTGTCACCACCATGAGCTAGAATCAAAACAGCAGCCCATGGAGTGGAGATGTGTGAATTCCCCAACAAAGAAAAAGTTCAGAATGCAGTCCTCAGTGGGTAAAGTGATGTTCACTGCCTTTGGGACAGGAAAGGGATGGTGCTTCCAGATTTCATTGAACCTGGACAAACCACCAGCTCTGAACGCTGCATCACAACACTGACTAAGCTGAAAGCCCCAACTTCCAGAGTCAGGCCAGAGAAGACATCCTTTCTCTTGCAACTCAGTAATGCAGGCCCTATACCAGTTTGAATATCATGGAACATACTGCCAGTTTTTACTGGGCTGTCCTGACACACCCACATCACAGTCCAGACTTGGTGCCTTCTGACTTCCATCTGTTTGGGCTGATGAAATATGGACTGCACAGGCAACATTTTTCTAACAATGGAACTGTCAGAGCAGCTGTGAAACAGTGAGTCACCTCTGCTGGTACAGATTTTGATGAGCACAGCATGTGTGCGCTTGTTCACTGCTGGCAAAAATGCACAGCTAATGGTGCTGACTATACTGAAAAACAGTATTTTGTAGCTGAGAGTTTGCTCTATCAAACAGTGTTATTATGTTCTTGTATGTGCTGTAGCAAATAAATAGAAGGCATCACTTTCAGAGCCTACATATTTTGACAGCACTGAACCAAAAACAGACCCACAAAATGAACTAGAAATATTCCCAATAGGATGACCAACTTCTAGTAACAGTTTTATAACCTAACATTTAACAAGTTTAATATATTTAATAGAACTTATATTGATTTTATACAGTGCTATTCATCTCTTAAACTGCTGCAAGAGAGTAGCAATCCAGGCACCTTTTTAAGTATATTAGACCATCCAAGCTGTGTCTGTCATACTACTACTAGTTTTACCATTACATGGGCTAAGTCTGATTGTGCTACTCACTGTAAAAATACTATTCTGCATCTGTTCATAATTTAATAAATCAATCTAGTTTACAGTCCCCAGAAAAATGACAGTATATTTGTTTGACAGTACTGATTTTTCAATAAAACTGTTTCCAATGGCCTGAATCATAGACAGCCATACAAAATTAAAAGACAAACAATACTCTTTATTTTACCTAGAATCAATGCTAAGCTAACAATGACATGTAACCATTCTGTTTACATGTTTAAACTAATTGCAGAAGTCCAGAGTGACCCATTCCCTAGTGTTCTGAATATCTTCAGCTACTTTCCACTGAACTTTTGAAAATAACAGTAATCATTACATGTATTCACCTACTTTGATTTCAAGCCTAGAAGCAATAAACCATGGAAAAGAAAAAAAAAAAAAGAGAGAGACCTAGAACCAATAACGTATAATTTCTACTTGATTTGCATCTTGTTAAAACTACATATGGAAACTCAAGCTACTACACCGAAATCTCCAAGTGTATGTTATACCATAAATATTGGTTTCTAATAACATACCAAGCATAACTGCAGATTTTGTCCAAATTAGAAGATTCACTACTCATCTCTCCATGTATTTGTAGAAAACTCACATTACTTCCTCTAGCGTGGGCACTCATGGGGAGAAGGGTTACTTTTACTTTTTACTTCTCTCTTTTTTTAAAGCCCCTTTTACTACATATCCTATTTTCTCAGAGGTTGTGGAAATACAACTCTAATTGCCTGGTATATCAGACTGAAAGTAGGATACTACATGTTGGAGGGCTATCAAGAAGTGTGATTTTTTATCATGGAAATATACATACTAGGTCAGCACACAAGATCTTCCTATCACCTGTAAGAGCTTCTACTGCTACCAATCTCATTAATGAAAAAACAATCATACTGGAAGAAAAACAGATGGCAAACAGGCAAAGAAAGCTGAAAAGTTCCTCACTAACATGGAGTACTTTAAATATTAATGTTTTGGAGGTTTGGTTTTTTTAAAAAACTATTTCTTGAAAAAGCCTACTCAGAGGAGAACTCCAGTACTCTTGATTCACCTTGCAAGCATTGCTGACATACAACAAGGAGAGAGCAAGAATCTGAAATTTTTAAGTTGCCACAGATACTACTAATACTATGATCTGCTGCAGAACACCACAGTTGAGAAGTCTGATCTCAGCTAGCACAGAAAAGAAGACAACTTAGTTTTCTATATTTGCAGTATTTGCAATTTTTGTTGCTGTATATTTGAACCAACTATGTTTGAACTGGACCCATCGCTCACTTTCAAATGTTCTGATCATTTCAAGCAACAGTTTCATTACAAGCAGAACAATGAATGTGAATACAAAGTCATTCAAGATTTTGCTCTCAAGTGATTCTGCTTTTATGCTACCGAAGTCAGTGAAAATGTTTTAATCAATGGATAATTTGTCCTGGTAGAAGTTATTTTTCAGTTAACTGATACGAAACAATGAAATTGGAAAACAATACTTCATGGTGTTGAAGGTCCAAGATGGAGACTCCAATGATGCATTAGCCACTAGGGTCACAGTAAACTGCAAAGCCACAAAGTAATCCAGGTAAAATCATTTTGTTAGCCTATATCTATTTTATCCTTCCAGCATTTTTCTTACTCTGTAATAAATGTGTAAACACAGCAAACAATAACATACCTTAATATATCAAATGTGTATCAAATCAGAATCTCAACTTCAGGTGGGATTCTTCAGGTGTTACAGTAATACATTAACTCTACAATATACCAAGTCTATCTGCTGAACTAATTAATACTGCCAGATGTTACCAGATAAATCTCCAGCATATTGAGCTGCTTACAAAATGCAAGCCCTTTTATGCTAAATGACATAAAGATAAGTAGCAATATAGTAAAAGGTGTTCCTATTTTCTGACATAAAAAAATAATGGGCAAATAGTTTGATCAGGCCCTGATCAAACAACACATATACTAAAGGAGACTTCTTCAGGTTTGCTTGGATTCTTCTCTTACCACTCCTTCATCAACAGAATAAAATAGATAATATTCTATTGCACTTCAATTTAGCCGCATCTGTTTAACTGACAAAAGCTAACATCTGTAAAAGACTTACTCCAATTATTTGCCCTAGCCATGGAGTTGAACCTTAAGGAAACGCCCTTCTTCTTTTTTCCAATACATGACCAATAAGAACTCCAGACAGGATGTTATTCACCTTGCTGCTTGATTTGAGCTAAGTTTTTCCAAGCAAAGATGAATGAAAATAATTAGAAAACTATTCCATGGAACTACTGACTCTCTGCAGCAGAATGCAGCCTCAAATTCATATAGCATGCATAGTATGTATGAACCTTGGCTATGCTGGTCCATTGGACTCTGAGGTGGGCCCATCCCAGGGTGAGGAGGTCGCATAGTCTTCATGGAGCCACAATGAACGTCTTCAACCATTCCTTTCTCATGTAAGCCATCAATGGTCTGTGAAAACAAAATAAGTATTTAAACAGAAACAATACATAAGTTCACTACAAAAATCCAAAGGAATTTAACTCAAAACCTAAGTAAATACCAAATAGAGAAGTACAAACTTTCCTTAACTGTCATTCAAATAAATTCAGCTGACACATTTACCCCTGGAGTCAAACATTTTGGAAAGCACAAAGCACCACTGGACTGCTCGTTTGTTCCCTGTCCGTATCTTTTTTTTTTGACTTTTTTTTTTCCCCCCTCCTTAGGATCTGTTTGGCAACGCCAGGGAGGCAAACTGCCCACATACAAGCACATGAACGGCACTGGTCTCATATTACAAAGTGGTGTAACATACACCAACTTGTTAAAGTACAGCCTGTGGCTTGGCTTGAGCTATTTTTAGCCCAAACTTTGCCCTTTCTATCTCTGCTCTACTGGAATGCCCCAAACACTTTTTCTCTTCAAACACAAAGATATAATTGCTAGAGGTTCCCTAGTTTTGCCTGCAAAGAAGAGGTTAAGGCAATCAAGGAATGGGAGACAAGGTTCTACACAAATACTTGCGCTCTATACAGTTCCTGATACTTTATTCACTCAAGAACTACAGTTACCATGGTATTTGGTATGCAGAACAGGGCCAAATGTCTTCCAAAGACGGTGCAGAGAATACAGCTTGGGGTCAGAAAAACATGCTGGAGGCATGCAGTGCACTGGAAATTGTTCCTTAATAGAAACTGTCAAATTCCAAGTATGAGAATAAGGCAAAAAGTGGTATGAGAAGAAAAAGAAAACTAAAAAGGTTTACCTGAGAACAAAAATTACACAAGGTCCCTAAAATGAAATGAGATTCTTCTTACTCACTGATAACTTCAGATAACTTCATTTGCAAGGCTTGGTATTAGGAAAAAAAGTCATTCATCTCTATACAGAAACACCAAACTGCCTCACTCTAGAACATATACACAGGTACACTAAACATTGTTATTGTAAACCGATTGTACACAGAGACCTTGCAGTTTGTTTAATATACATGCAGGCCTATTAATTGGGAACTCTTTATAACAGAGATAGAAAAACTTACTCCAGTTGAAAATACAGGTTGCCTAAGAAGCTACATTAACTTAAAGGAAAACATAGAGAAACTTCTTCTCTTTGAGAAATTTGTTGCATAAGGACAACCCAATTTTAATTAATCCATTTTATACAGAAAATGGGAAAGAAGACAAAACTCTACATTTTATTTGTAAATTCTTCATAAAACTATTTATTTTCCATCAAAATAATTTTACTAGATTTAAAGCATCTTTAAACAAAAAGTGTTGTTGTTGTTGTTGTTGTTTTTAATTCAGCATTTTTGATTCATTTCACCATCATTTTTTCCTTACCAGAAACTAAAGGTTAAAAAAAAAAAAGTTACAAAAAAAGGAGAAGCAAATAGGAATTGTGTTTCAATAGGATGTTTAATCATGCCAGAACAAAAGCACTTGTGAAATAAACTTGTATCAGAAAAAAAAAAAAAAACCTGATACACTATTTTTGAATACATGAGTTTGGGATATGGAACAGAAACGTAAAGACAGACAGACGTGTGAAAAATAGTTTAATTATGCTGATCAAACAAAGCTAACACCCTTTTCTGAAGTGCAAAATGCTCTTCTTGTCTCTTCTCCCCTGTTTATAAAGGCAGTCAACCCTGATGAGAATGCTTAGCTCACACCTTACCAAGCTGAATATTACACTAACAGAAATACTTGTACAACCAGAACCATTCCTATTTTGCCACAGTACATATCTATAACTCAATCTTTAGGACCTCCAAGAGGAGAAACATACTGAGTAGGAAATCAGATCTGATTTCTTTAACAGAAGACTATGGCTGTACACACCTGTGGTGTGACAGCAGGGATGGGCATCACTGCATGAATGGACAGCAACAGTGCTGCCTCTCTTGATGCTAGAAACTTCAAAGAGCCTGAGACAGTACATAACATATATATCCAGGGCATCAGAAATACAAGCACAGGAGAAGGTGGACAAACAATTCGGGCGCTAATGAAAAGCAATGAGGAAGAAAGCAAACACATGCCCACACTTCTCCTTTCAAAAAGAATTTAAGGCAAAACAAACAGGAATGGAAGGATAGGCACATGACCATAAACAGAAATGCCAGCTGGAGGAATGGTTCTGTGGGAAGAAGAGCTGACCAAAAAAACAGGGTTTTGTAAAGATCTTTTTTTTTTCTCAAAAAATTGAAAGCAAAACAAAATCTGGAACAAACTCAAAAGTTTCAAGTCAAACACAAGGGAGGATAAGTTTAATAAAAATTGGGTTTGCTTCACTATGTTTGCAGAAATTATGCTGTGAAAGTCTAAAAGAGAAATTCATTAGAAGCAGATTTAAAAAGGCAGAACTGATGGATCTGTTTTTACTAAAAAAGCTAAAAGAAAGACGAAGGTGGCATAAATTTCTTCCAAGACAAAATTAGTTTCAATGATGCTAAGTTACGCAATGAGACTTGTGTTTTCAAGGATATATTTAATCTACAAGTACCACTACAGTCCATGAGAAAATACATAAAAACAAACAGATAAAGACTACTCAACTTGAAAAATCGTTATTTCTCAAAACCTCTTTGAAATGCTACATAGTTACAAAGTTAGCTGAGGACTTGAACCAATGTAACAGCAGCACCATTACCAAAACCTTGCTTCGCAAGCCCAGAACAGTAAATTCACTGGAAGAGTAAAATCAAGGCAATCATGTAACTACACTTTCCTCTGATATTTTCCCACCTTCCCATTATTTTCAGCTCATGATAAAATCCAAGGCTGTTACACTTTACCCATTTCACAGGGCCCCAGAAGATCTCTAAGTACCTCTCCTTGAATCTGCTTTCTCTTGCACCCAAAATGCACATCAATGAAAATTGAATTGTAATGACCTTCCTGGCAATTTCATTGGTAGTCTGAACATTTCTTGAGCAAGTAACAGGAAAGATAATTAACTTGCTGTTTCTATGAAAGCTACGTTATTATGTAAATTGACTGTAAATTTTCCTGTGGAAGTTTTCTGGGGTTATTATAGAGTGAATATAGAGTCTCCATCTTTCAATAGTAACTACTTTTAAGTAATCAAACTGTAGGAATCGTAACTTTTACTTAATCACTTATTTACCTACTTTTGCATATTTTCATTTTCATGCATGATGGTCTGCAAGCTAGCCAAACATCTAACAAAGATTCATGGTACTTTGCCACCTTCTTGGTGGATTCTGAAAGTGAAAACCACAATCCCACTGCATTTGTGCAATAAACAAGTAATTGCATAAATGGAACAGTTTCTGCTTACTCTTTCACTTTCACTACACTTTCGCTTGTCCACTTTAAAAAAAAGATTAAAAAAAAAACACAACCCAACCCAAAACACCATGTTCCATCATGACACAAAGGCCATGGACCAGCTTTAAATAAACAACTTAAAATAAAGCCAAATAGAAAAAAAAAACTACCTAGTCAAACTGAAAATTACAAGTGGCTGACCAGATTTCTTTTAACTACATGGAATGTCACTCAAGCAGCAACTGCAAAACAGTCTAGAGGCACACTTTCAAAAACTTTCTTAACAGACCCTTCCCAGCACTTCTTTCTTGGTTGTTTCAATGCACTATTTCTAGAGTTGTACATAAGAACAGTCTAGAAAATTGATCTACACTGAAAAAAAAACCAACAACTTTCCACCTGCATCAGTTCAACGGATTTATTTTGTAGCTTAGTCTGAGCTTCTGTGTCTCTGTCTCTCACATGCACATACTATTTCTGAAAGAAGTTTAATGATTATTTCTAATGCTGATATAACATCAGACATCTGAAGAACATCTTGAACTTTTAGGTCCCCTTCAACCCAGGCTATTCTATAATTCTATGAACATACAAGATGAAACATGATATAGCAGCTGAAGACAATATATGGGATATTGAACTGCTGAACTACGAAATTCCTGGTGTTAGACTTATCTTCTTCAGGCACAGAATCTCTTAATAAAGAAAGAACTGAGAAAATTGAAGGATGTAAACCTTATCCATCTAAGATGTTTGGAGCACTCAACAGAGTAATGGCACCTTAGGTAGTCAACCACCTCACAAACAAGTAAATATCAATTGAAAATAGTAAATCCGGCCTAGCTAATTGCTAACTTACTTCAAGATCCACATGCAAGACTTATAGTTTTTAAGGTATTGATTTTTCAGAGATTACAACTGCAACAGTTTAGTACAAACAGCGAGTTGGATCATGGCCTTCTTCACTTCAGCTGTCATTGCGTTATTAGAAATTTTAATGATACAGTTCTTCATGCACTGTAACATGGCAGTGTTATGTCTCTACTGAATAGACATCTTAACTGCTTTAGTGACTAAAATTAATCCATATGTGAAAATTACACACAAAGTTGTCAATTCATGAGGAAAATGAAGACATGTTTACATTACTTTAAGACTATATTATTACTTTGATTTAAATTTCTTTACCGATGTGCTTACATAATACGTAAGTTTACATGGCAAGGTTCAGTTGCAGCGAGCTGTAGGGATGGCCTCTAAGCACAACACAGCAGCTGCCCCACAGTATGAAAGCCTGTTTCCAGCTGGCTCCAAAAGGGACCCACTGCTAGTCAAAGCTGAGCTATGAGCCAGTTGCACTTCTGTGATAATGGTTCTGAGGAAGGCTAAAATGCTGCACAGTAGTAGTGAGAAAGAGGAATAGGAAAACGTGAGAAAAACAGCCCTGCAGATATCAATTCCACTAATCTTCCCTAAATCTAGTCTGTTTTGCCTGCAACAGCCATTGCTGAGTGATTTCCCTGTGCTTTTCTCAATCTGCTAACTTACTCACTGTACCTCCTGCACCTTCCTGCCTTGCCTTGCTGAGGAAGTTAGAGAATGGCTTAGGTGGGCATCGTCAGTCAGCCAGGGTCAAGTCACAACAGCTTATATAAGTAACACATAGCATCAACAAGTCAGCAAAATGCCTTGTGAATCTTGGTTCTGAAAGCTGCTACTTCATTCTTCTGAAAGCAGAATATCAGTGAAGTTTAAGTGATCATTAGTTCCAAATATGTGGTTCACAGCTGCATGAAAATGACATGTTAAGAGTTTAAGAGATTGTTCCCAAACAGAAAATTCTGCTCCTTTGAAAATCTTCTCAAAGCAGAAGACATAAAGAATAGCCCAAGTACACGTGTAACGTTAAGTGTATGACAACAGCTAATGTACAATTATTCACACATTCTACAATATGGAGTTTAAAATTCATTAATAAGAAGGAGTCTCTGTAAAAGTATTTCAAAACACAGAAGTTTTTCATCCAAAACAGAAGATTAAACAAATTTGTAGGCACAAGCCATTAAAAGTATCAAAATGAATATCAAAATTAAATCAAATCATAATTAAATCAAATTAAATTGTGCAAAACTAAAGAAGAACTCAGAAAAATTTTACAGCAGCATGACGCTCCAAAACAGATAAGGACAAAAAGTAAATGGTGGTTAGAATCATCTACTCTAAGACCTTAATACTTACAATTCCAACATTTCTTTAGTATGGTCTAGTGTATGGAAAGTGCACAGTTCAAAAAGAACTTCAAAAATAAGAATTTCCAAACTACTAAATCTGTAATACAAAGTAGTGTATTAAGAGCAAAGCACCTGTACGTAATCTCATGTGTGTATCATCTTTAGCAACAAAGACAGAACTAACAGTGTTGTTGCAGTTTTGCAGGTGATACATGAGTTCTAGTAGCAGTTATGCAAGCCTAAATGCAGTAGAAGTTGGGTTCTTACTCACTGGAGAGAACTTTTAAGAATAAAAGGTTCACTTGTAATAAATTATTACCTTATGCATTTGGTGCATGCCTTCCTGTGGATAATCAGTGGGCCCCATTGCTGGCATTTGATGCGGGACACTGGGTGGACCTGGACTTGGCCCCATCATGCTGTGAACTGAGCCAGGAGATGGCCCTGGTCCTGGGCTAGGTCCTAGAATCGGTCCAGGTGAAGGTCCTGGTCCAGGGGAAGGACCAGGATGAGGCATGGCGCCAGGGTCTGTGGGCGTGGACATCTATTTTTCTGTCTCCTTTTCAGTGAGCAGAATAGCTCTAATAACAGAAAAACAAAACAAAGACATTTTCTATATGACATCAGGGCATTCAAGAAAATGTAGTAAAGAAAATCTACTGGCAATCATCACACGCGCATGCAAGCTGTCACCAGCAGAAAATGCTTAAGTGCTTCTTAATACGGAACATTTGTCTGACCACCCTTCAAAAAGCCCACCAGAAGGAGGAAGCTCTGATAGTTCAGTCAATTTCTGGATGCTTATATATTAGTATGAGAGCTAAACAGCAACTAGGCTATGTGAAATAATTACTGGTGAAAACTGTCGTTCAACCGACTTGCAGTCATCAAAGCACGCAACAGGCAGTCATGTACACTACCACTACAGAATACAGAGTAGACTGTGCAATTGTGTGATATATGTGTTCAAAAACCCACACTCAACACACATGATGGCAATTCTTATAAAATTCATGGGGACATAGAAAAACAAGTGGTAGAAGTATTATTAATGCTATCTTCTGACTGTTTTTTTTAGTTCGACACTGAAGATTTTCCTGGATGTCTCTGTATGGTAATCTCAGTATCAAATGAAACACACAGTAGAAAATACAATTACTTTGGGCTGAATACAGTTAGAACTCACTTGAGGGATTCTGTTGATGTCACAAGCCAGGAGAATGCAGCTCAAGTGGCTTATAAAACGGTAAGTGCTCAGAGAACAAATAGCAGGCTTTTACAAACTGGAAAAACAACTACTACTATTTTCTATTTCTATGTTCTTAAGAAAACAAACTGATGCAGAGTACAGGCTTGAAGCATCCTTCATCTTTCTGAGAACTTCTATCAATGGTTACTATTGAGAACTTTCAGTCTACTACTGCCAGATTATTGTAATGCAGTGACATAACAGGCATATTTTTACAAAACTGAGAGTTGATGCCAACAAGACCAGTCGTATTTCTTGGTATTCCCCTCTCCCAGAAGCCTCATTTTCTTCTGTTTGATCACAGGGTGATCTCATTAACTGAGTAACTAAGACAGCAGAAAAATAGCACCATGTAAGAAAACAAATTACAATTTTTTAGGTTACCAAACTGACTTTCTAAAAGGACAGATGGATCCCAACATCAGCACAAAGAAGCAAGCAGGATCACCCCCTTCAACAATAGCTGAACACAGGCTTAGCTTGCTCTCTCAATTCAATCCGGACACAGTTTTTACAACATTACCAGTTCAGAATTACTTGTCTCAGAACAATAAATACAGTATGGTGAAAAATGAGTCTTTACAAACAGCATTTTAATTTGCAGTATTTGCATAGTACATCATGGGGTTCCCTGACCCATATTCTCTTCTTATACGAGTAGTTACAAAAGATTGCTCTACACCCACATCAGGATTTACATACATGCCATGGTTAGCAGTAATTACTTTCTAACTGGAGTAAGTGGTGTAACCCTGTTGTGGCACTGCTTACATAAATCCACGCTGTAACACTGCAAACACCCTGGTTCACAGAAGTCAAGTTAAGAAACAGACACTGAAGACAAGCAAAGTACCCTGCTGAGATTCCTACAGAAAGGAGGCCCATCTGCATGACACATCAGAAAGAAAAGCAGATTCATGTTTAATTACGGCAATTAGGGGATTCAAAGTTTACAGAACTTATCTTTTCTTTTTCTTTTATGAGCAAGAATCTTTACTTACTGGGTCCAGTAGAGAAGATAAAACACTATCACATCAAGACTATTCTCAATTATTTACCCCTAGTTATCTGCACCTTGTGTCAGGATCAAAACGGCTTGCTAGCTTTTATTTATAAATTCCCTCCTGTTGCATTTTTATTAGCTACAACTCAGCTCTGATTCAAGGCAACAAATTGGAAAAATGGCTGCTTAGCTCATTTAAAATAAACCAGCCTTGCCTGAAGTAAGCTACCTCAGGACTTTCTATACTTGCAAGGTACAACAAGGCGATACCTCTGAAGCTTCTCTCTCCAAAACAAAAGGTAACAACAAAATACTGAAGTCACCAATCAGTTCCTCGCGTTCCCACAACATTGCCACAGAAGGAACTGCATCACCAAATGTTCACAGCTGCAAACACCATGCCATTGCTTCTTGTAAGATGCCTGGAACTGCCTGGAATTTGGCTGGAAAACAGATATTTCCACAAAACAAAGAGCTTTTATACAAGCCAGGTTGCATTGCGAAACATAATAGTGATCCTGACAAAGCTGAGTCTCTCTGTACAGTACTAGCCAAATTCAGTACATTCAACAAAGCAGAACCTAGCATCAACTCCACTGTCCAGGCAAACGGGTACGGAACTACAACTCAATCAATTACAAGCCTACTGTCAGTTCACAGAATCCCAAAATAATCTGTTCCATAAAATACTTCATTTACACCTATGTATTAAAATAAATATCAAAATATCTCCTTCTGTTTACCTTTATTGCAAACTTGACTTGTCATTTGCCTGAAAATTAACTGGTCCTGATCTCAGCACTGCTAATTAAAAGGCCATTTACATATATACTAAGTATTTCCAGCAAGCAAATCTGAAAAATGTGGAATACTTTTGAAAGAAATAGCAAGTGCCCAACCTGTGGAAAACAATGACTATGAGAGAGTAATGCTATGCTCCTTACTCCAGATTAAGACCCTTCTGCAATCCCTTTGAAAGCTGATGAAGTCATTCAGTTTTGTATCATTTTGAATATATCTGAAGAGATCTTTATAAATTAAAGAAAATACTTATGTGGAAGAAAAAAATTACTATTTATAAAATCCGTATAATGGGAACATAAAATAATGTAAACTGTAACATGAATGCAAGTAATGTAAGGTGTACAAAAACAACTTTTTTTTTTAAACAACAGCTACCATAAACAGGAACACATTATACATAGCCTGCCCAATTCTACTCAGAGTAGAACTGCTAAAAAAGACATCTATGAACTAAAATATTTCAAAAATAGTTTATATTTACTAAAATTGATACTGTATTAAAATTCACAAATCAGGAACATCATTCTCATTAAAATTAGAAGTAGACTATTCAATTTTTCTAGGCCCTTATAAAAGTCTCATTAAAGTCTTGTCAAGAAAAAAAAAACAGAGAGAGAGAAAGAGAGAGTGAGAGAGAGAGAGAGAGAGAGAGAGAGGGGGAAAATAGATCCAACTATGGTCAAGTTCTATCCATAAAACCTTGTTACAATTTTGGCTAATTCTGGTGCCTTTACTGAAATAAACAAAATGAAATCAACATTCTGGAAAAGCCAGAGTTAACTCATTTGTTTTGACTGCTTTTTTAATGAGTAGCTCCTGTCAGTTACAAGAAAAACAAAACAAAAATCTCATTGTCCCAAATGATACGGCTGTTAGTTCAGACTCCCTTGTGTATTACACACTAATAGTTTCTCAAGTGTCCAATCTTTAAATTTCCTCAGATTTCCAATGTAAGCAGTGTCATTCACATGACTTTCAATAAGACACAGCCATTCTAGAGCTGTAAATTCACGTCACTTCTTAAATTCATTTGCATTCTACTTCACCAAATATCTTTAGAGAACATTCTAAATACACAGGCTGCTCTGAAAGTAATACCTCCTATTTATTTGCATGGAAATCACAACGAATAGTACAATAACACTACCTGGTAGAGCAAATGCTCAGCTACAAAATTGACAGTCACCACCACCATTAGCTATGCATTTTCGCCAGTGACAAACAAGAGCCTGCATGCCACACCTGCAAATATTTGTACCAGCAGAGATGACCCACTGTCGCTGTCACCACTGCTCCACAGTCTTCAAACCTGTATGCAGACTGGTATTACCATATTGCAAGAGAAAGGTGTCCTCTTCACTAGTCTTCAGCTTAGGTAGCATTGTGACGTAGCGGTCAGAGCTGATGGTTTGTCCAGGTTCCACGAAATCCAGACAGACCATACCTTTCCTATCCCAAAAGACAGCGCACCTCACTTTACCCACTGAGAGCTACAACTTGAACTTTTTTTTTTTATGAGGTATTCACACACCTCTACCCTGTCTGCTGTTTTGACTCCAGCTCATAGTGGTGATACCATGTTTTGCCACCGGTAATGATGTGATCCAGGAAACTGCCACCTTCAGCTTCATCCTGGTTCAGTAGGTCCAGATAAATTTGCATACAGAATTCTTTCTGAAAAAACTGAAACAAACCACCCAATGCCTCACTGTGCTTGCGCACACAGTATAGTTCCACAAACATTCTGCGAGTGTCAATGAATGTCAGTGGTTGCCATTTTTTTCTGCATGGAGGAATTCAGACACACTTCATCCACACTTTCACATCAGACACTAAATTTGCCAGAGTGCCTCTCTACTTCCATCTGTCACACAGCAAAAAAATGTAATGGAATATTGCTGGGAAGGTTCACTTCACTGGGAAAGTTCACCTTCACTGCCATCCCGCCAATGTCAGTTCCTGATGTCCTGGGCCAACGTAACAAAATAGGAGGCACTACCTTCAGAGCAGCCCTTGTGAAAGGACAGATCCTTTTTTCTCATATTTTCACAGCAAGGTGTAATGTCTCATTCCTCCCTTTCCCTGACATTGAAGTCTAGGCAGACTATAAACCAAAAACAAAATCCCCTGATTTCTTTAGCCCCTGTCAACAGAACAAGAGGGGTTTTAATTTCACTATTTGTGAATCCTACTGCTCTTACTGGTCCCAGGGATTTTCTCACACCTTTTCTAGACTACCCAGAGTTCAGACAGACAAGCAAAAATCCATCACTATCAAGGTAGCATTAGAAAAATGGAAATACAACAAGAACCACAACACTAAGAACTGAAGAGAAACACTCACTCCCTTTGCTCCACTCCTTCTAGAACAAACGATCTAGGACAGTATCTGCATTATATTTATTTATATTATTATATTATATTTGAGTATGCCAAGAGGGAATGTTAGCTAAGCATGTACATTTTCACACCTAGAAGGTTTTATAAATACAACTCTTTCATCGCACCGTAGCTCAGTCTTTTAG